ACAAAAGGTAGAGGCTGAAGAAGGCCGAGAGAAAGTTATGTATAAACGGAGCCCCGCCAGGGAGCTCCAGGCGTACGCAGAGTCGATTTGAAGCCAAGGGAGTTGACCCGTCACCCATCAACGTGGCGCATAGGTCACAGGCTAAGCAAGCTGCAGCGTGAAGCTGTCTGGGCTCGACGTAGAGAAAAGCGTAGAGAGCTGCTTGTTGCTTACACGAAGAACAGGCATTCGTTTTCACAAGTGTCGAGGGAAGAGACGGCTTTGTGTTCCTGTTCCAAGAGGTTCACCTTCGACCTTCTGTCGGCTTCGATGCGACTTCAACATGATTGACAAGGAGAAAGAGATCCGACTTACTGCGTTCGTTGGGAACGTAGATATGTACATTAGAATCGGGATCTTCGCAAACGCCGATAGATTTCCCCTTCTCGCAAACCGTACTGAGTTCAGTAAGAAATTAATGAAATACAACTATCCTGATATTGTTGTTATTGTTGCTGTTATTCCATTATGCTACGTTAAAGGAGGTAGGTAGGTAAAGATGGGAGTGACCGACTTACTCTTGGGGTACTTAAAAGTTATTTGATATTATAGATAGGTCCATGCACTGACTAAGCTCAGGCGTTCGTTGTCCAAATTCCCAACCTCTTCATCAAAGTAATCAATCGCGCGAGTAGGTACGAGTATAGTCGTCCAGTCTTAAAGGATGTAAGGAGGCCCGCCTAAGCGTGCCGACGATAAAATCGATACAGTACTAGGCAACTGCTGTTGGCCACTTAAGCGAGAACATCAAAATCAATATCAGACACTCAGCTATCACTTCTTAATTACGCAATCATTACAAATCCAAGTTAAATAACAAAAAAAAATCTATTCTCTAGACTTCTCTTATTCTTTTCAATTTTTAAGCTAATACGTACGTATCACACCACCTGTGCTCATCAATCCATACCACACACCTGATCAGCCCATCCGCGCTTGATAAATCGCCGTTTGTCGTCTACGACATTCTTCACGCCAATCGTTGCTCGATCGGACGTGCGTTAGCCGGCAAGCCAAAGCGAACCCGGTTACGATGCTACAAGAGGTTTGCTTGCTTGCTCTATGGGTACCTTATACGTACATGTCAGGATTGCCGTATAAATGAATACCTTTTGGGACATCCCTGAGCGAGGAACAACGAGCGAACAAAGTTGACTTTCTTTGAAAAGAATACATTCTTCTGTATTACCGCTAACTTTACTTTCATCGAGTCAGGTATGTACTTTCTTTGTTTCTCTGTGATGTAACAGAATCATGTGTTTGCCGTCGACGCATGCCTTTTTTTTTTTTCTTTCTTTTTTTTCTGCAATTGGAGTCATCTAATGATGATTATTAGAATGATTTCGAGGCGGACAATTATGAAATTTTGCTTATTATTCTGGGACACGGTTTTTTTTAAACCACATTTTCATTTTCATTTTCATCTTTAACTAAATCGCGATGGGTTTCAAGGGAGACCTGCAAAGAATACCTTAAAGGCAGGTAAGGGGGTCATTTAAACGCTCAACCGAGCATCCAATAACCATCTCTTTCAAGGACGGTCTTAAGAAGCTGGTATAGCTAGTGGATCACCTTAGGTCTATGTCTACATAGCTGAATCAAAATCAACCCCATAAGTAGATCGCTTGAGAGATTTAAATAGCTAGTGGCTCACCTTAGGTCTACATAGCTGAATTAAAATCAAGCCTATAACGAGACCATTTGAGAAATTGAAATCACAGCTGAAATTGGAACCATCTCCCCCGATCAAATCGTCTTTTTACAAGAGCTCGTCTTTTCGCCCAAGATTACTACTAAACTGAGACCGTCTTAAATCGATTGCATCGTCGTTTATCCAAAGTCATTATTTTTTACGAAGAAAAAAAAAAAAAAGGCCATCCTATGTAGGACCGTCTCCGGGCGTTTCAGGACCCTTTCAGGACCGTCCTAAGCATTTCGGGAACGTCCTAGGACTGATCTCAGTAAGCAAACAATCACGATACCGCCTTTTATTCCCTTCTATCCTCACCTACGTACCCCCTTCAATCTAACCCTAACCCTAACCTCCTCCAAGTAGGCACAGCACAGCGCAGTACCCAATTGCAATCTTCGCTAAATCGATCGATTTTACACACCCATTGACTCGACGAAAGCGCTAACGTGCGTAAGATAAGCAGCGACGCCGAGAAAAGATCTTGGCACGAATATTTCAAAGTACGAGATTAAATATAACACCTAGGTATTAGAGTCGCTTTGAGAACCGGATTGTAACTAAAACCGATGTCGTATTCAGGATGGTTAACACCCTCTTTTTTTTTTTTTCCTTCAAATATTTTTTAACGACTTCTTCAATGAGCCTCTTTTTTTTAAAAAACCCCCCTCCCCCCCCCCTTCCACCTTCTGGATGGAAGACGGCGCTACAGGACGGACGACAACAAGACGGTCTCCTCCCCAATGGAAGCTCATCATCAAAAAAAAAACCAAAAACCAAAAAACCCCCAAAAAAAAACACAGAGAGCCTACCTACCTACCTACCTACCTACCTACCTAACCCACTACCACTACCACTACCACTACCTACAGCACAGCACCCAAACCAAGCCAAGCCAAGCCAAGCCCCAAGCAGTCTCACAAACCCTCTTTCCTATACCTACCTACCTCCCTACTTCAAAAAGAAAGTCAGAAGAAGCCCATCAAAACCATTAAAAACAACCCCTTGTGGACCTGCCTCCAAGCTAGCTAGGTACTACCTATAGATAGGTAAGGCACCCAGATACCGATTTTCTTTCACGTCGAAGATACAAAGGCAGGTAGGTAGGTAGGTATTTATCCAGTTGGGCTTTCTACGCATACATATATACATACCGGTATATATGATCTTTTTTTTTAAAAAAAAAAAAAAAAGGAAAAAAAAAGGGAAAAAAAAAAAAGGAAAAAGGTGAAAAGAATATATGTTTCAGATGGGTTGATACGGTAGAGAGAGTAGGTAGTGTTTCAACAGAGCCGTCCCGTCCCGTCCCGTCCCGTCCCGTTCCGTCTTGGATATGCTGGCGCTACCGAGTGCCAACCGACCGACCGACCTGGCTGGCTGGCTGGCTGCAGGAAGATAGGTACCTACTTACCTACCTACCTACCTACCTAAGGTACCTACTATAAGTCCAAGTCTGTATTACTTACTTACTTCCTGGACCTGTACCTAAGGTATTTATGCATCTAATAGCCGCCACACCTACCGTACCTACCTACCGGTACCGTACCTCACCCACGCCGAACTAATAAGGTACGGGAAACGATTGATTAGGTACCTTACCTTACCTTTTACCTTACCTTGACCTTACCTTACCTTTTACCTTACCTTTTTACCTGTACATTACCTTACCATACTTTACCCTTTACCCGTTACCTTGACCTTTCTTTACCTTTACCTTACCATACCATACACCCAAGTACCTACTACGTAACTCACTCGCACAGGGGAATGGAGAAATCCATCAGAGAAAGAAAGAAAGAAAGGGGGTATCTACCTAGCTACCCACCTACCTACCTACCCACCTATCTATCCATCTCCCCATCTTTTAAAGAAACCCCCCCTCCATCCCCCCTTTCCCCCCCTTCCCTCCCCCCTCCCCCTTTCCCCACCCCCAAATCAAAAGAATCAAAAGAATCGATAAATCGATAAACCAATGAAACTGATAAATTCTCTCTCACCCACCCATCCACCCACCCATCCACCTATCCAACCCAGCCCAACCCACCTTACCAACCCAACCAACCCACCTTACCTACTTCATAAAAATAAAATAAAAAAATATGAGGAGCGCAGCATATGATACATACATACATACTCTTTATATTAACTTCCATAAATAAGTAAGTAGGTACCTTACTTTATACGTACTGTCTATCATTAGATACTCCTCTCCCCTCCCCTCTCCTCTCCCCTCCCCTCCCATCGTCCCATCCCACCCCATCCCACCCTATCCTCTCCTCTCCCCTCCCATCCCATCATCCCCTACCGTGTACCAAGCCCTCCCCCCCTCGCCCTCCCCCATACATACATACATACATACATACATACCACGGTACAGGCCTAAGTATTACCCCTCGAGGGTGCCTTAAAAGTTTAGTTTCCACTTTAAACCCCCTGTTTTCCCTACCCTCGAGGGGTAATACTTACGCCTGCGACGTAGTACATACATACATACATACATGCATACATGTGCATACATACATACATACCTCCAGTCCAGCCCTACCATGGTCCTGTGTAGAGCACCTACCTACCTAGCTCTGTTCTCCCATCTCCACCTCCATCTCCACCTCCACCTCCATCTCCACCTCCATCTCCATCTCTACCTCCATCTCCATCTCCACCTCCATCTCCACCTCCATCTCCACCTCCATCTCCACCTCCAACTTTGGAACCAGCCGCCTTTACCTTGACGGAACCTGCCGTGGGCGTCTGCTCGGCTCTCCGTGTTGGGGTTTGGGGGATGGCTTTCTTTCAGCTTTCTTTCAGTGTTTTGCAAACGGCGCGGATTAGGCACGCGTGCGAGTGAGTGTTGATGGATCCCTTCCCTTTTTGAGTTTGCGAGATAGAGATGCAATAAAAGTAATAGATTGATGATAGGCGTTGGGTGGTGCATGGTAAGGAAGAGAGGACGCCGACGCTGTATGCCTAAATCCAAGGGACCCCGTTTTCTCTGTAGAAAGCAAGCACCGATATCCGGAATGCGTACTTAAAGCGAGAAAAGAGTCAATAACATAATTCGTAAAAGCAAGACTGCCAACGCCCGCCGCAATGCCCTGCCCTCGCCTGCCTTTCCCCCTGATATTGTGAGTCCTCCTCCTGCTCGTCGGCCTTTAGTTCTGTGGTCTCGTTGATCGGATGTAATGAGTGGTGTTGATACATATTAGGCTTTGTTCTCCCGCTAGCTTGCAGCGCTCATGCGCGAGAGCGCGTGGTCCGCCAGGATGGCAGGTTATTTCTTCCTTCCTCCCGCGGCACCGGTAGCCGTTATCTTCGACGTGGACATCAGGTCGCCGATATACTTCTGCAGGAATTTATTGTTACTGTCCAACTTGTCGTGTTCTTCCTTCACGGCCTCGATGCGGTTGAAAATTTCCAGGAGCGACTTTTGGAGGATTTTGGCGTGTCTGTTTGACTCGGTTAGCTAGGCATGCAACCTGGTACTGCGAACGGGGACAAACGTACTCATTTAATTGCAGCTTCGCATCCTCACTCATCTTTTCCAGATCCTGACTACTCCTCCGCGGACTCATAGCTCTCGCGTCGTCTGCGTCAAAGACCTCGTCGCCTTCCTTCAGTTCGACTCGTGGGTGTTCGCGCGGGACGATGATGGTGCCGCTGCTCTTCCGCGAGTGAAGTCGCGGACGCGTGGGAGTCGTACCACCACCGTCATCGTGGACAGAGGAGAAAGACGAGGAGGTTGCTGAGAGGGGGTGTGTGGGCGAGGGCGAAGACATGGTATGTGTAGTTGGGTTGGAAAGATGTGTGGAGACAAGAGGTGGGCACGCAGAGGAGGCTCGAGTCGCCCTGCTGCGGTGCTGATTATGCTATGCTGCTGTGCTTTTGTGCCGTACGGCGGCGCCTGACGTCGCGATGTGCTTTGCCTCTTGATCGGGTTCGAGAATGCAGCTTCTCGGGTCGAGGGTAGACGGGGAACACGGGGCAGAGACGAGACGAGAAGAGAGGAGAGAAGAGGAGAGGAGAAGACGCTCTTTTCGAAGTTTGCCTTGCCTGTGGTGGCTATAGTAGTGTGGTGTGATGTGATGTAGTGTAACGCAATGCCTTGCGGTCACCGTCAGCAGGCTCCTGAGGTTGCGATGGTTGATATCCGCAGGAGGGGCTGGCGCTGCTGTTTGTCGGGTCGGGTCCTGAGAGCGGCGATTTGAGGATTTGGGGATTCCTTGGAAGATGAGGTGGTGGTGATGTTGTTGGGGTCGTTGTTGGTGTTGTCGGTGTTGTCGGTGGTGGTGTTGGTGGTGTTGGTGTTGTTGGGGTTGTTGGGGGGGGGAAGCATTCAATGAAAGGAAGCATCGAAAGCACAAAAGGTACCGACAGCTAAGGTGGACCCTGAGATTTAGTCCGTCTTTCTGGCAGCGCCGACGTCGCGTCGCCTCGTATTAGCGTTTGCGTAGCGCTGTCGAGCTCGAGCTCGAGGAAGTCGATTCGTTTGGAGTTGCAGATCGTCGTGCTTGGGGAGGGAAGGTGAAGCGACGAGGTGGAGCGTGGAGAAGGAGATTGTTACTTATCAACACCGAATAGGTAATCATCATGATAGTATTATTATTATTATTCGCATCATCATCATGGATATCGTCGCATATTTCTTGACGTTCAATGACACACACGACTGCAAGTACAAGTATAATACAACTATCACCATAGCTATCGCCATAACTTCAACAGCAAGCGTAAGCGCAACAATACTGTATAGACAGACATGGGGATCCTATGCTCAGGATTGCAAAATGACGCCGTCGGAAACCGAACGGATACCTAGGTAGGTAAGGTAGGTAGGAACATCCTGATCCTGGCTTCAGGGGGGGTATGCACGACCACATCATGTGACCAAATCAAATCTTATGCTACTAAGTACCACCGGTACCACGTACCACGTACGTAGTACTTACGGAGGTCCTGACTGTAGGCCCGTAAGGTGGTCCATCATACCTATCTCTCGTCTTGTTCTTCTCGATATCGTTTAAAACAGTTGGGACATCAAATCTGAAACATCCAACATCAAATATCGAACGAACATCAAACATTAAACTTCAAACTTCAAACATCAAACATTAATCACCACTCTTCCAATGCCGACAACCCCTATCCATCCCCATCCCCACCCCTCCTTCCCCAACCCCTTCCCCGTTCTCTTGACGTCATCCTCGTCATCATCAGCAGGGTCCCACCTCCAGATATAATTATCGACACCCCGACCGCATGTTCCCTGCATATTGATTGTTTTCCCCCCCCCCCCTTCCCGCCACCGCTGCTCAATTCCGCAAGCCAGTTCCCAGTTCCCAGTACCCAGCCCTCCCTTACCTTCCCTAACCTTGACTCCTTGGGCCTCACATGATCAGCCAGCAATCAGCGTCTGTCTCCGTATCTGGATCTTCCTTTCTTCAGGAAGATGTGCTGTCCCTGAGTCGAGATGGAGATCGACCTGATCATCCCGTCTGGATATGGATGGTAGTGGTCTGTCTGTCTGTCTGACAAGCATCTCGTCATTCGTGAGACGACACGAATGCCGAGTTCGGCTTCAACGAGTCTGACTGGCAGGCGGTGAATCACAATCGGCTTAAATCACGGCCTGTCCAGCCGCTTTGGAGGCCTCGTCCCGTGCCTGCATAGATCCCGGGATGCTCCATTCCATATGTCGCGGCACCATCGTCATATCATCCGTCTTCATTCTCATCTTTTACTTCTACCTCTCACATCTCATAAGGGAACCGTGCCCAATCGATCACGTTGGTGTCAGTCGGTTGGATACGGCCAGCCAGCTTTGTTCATTGGTTCGGTCGTTGTATGGACAGGCCGAGTCTATCCGATGATGCGATGATGCGATGATGCGATGATGGAAATTCAGGCATGATCCGTACGTACTACCGGACTATTACGGTATTGATAAAAAAGTCTATCCTTATCCTTTATGCGCCCGCGGCTACCTAAGGGGAATGAGGAAGAAGACTCTTTGGCGAGAGGAGTCTTGCTCCGTGGGGCCAAAAGATGCCGCCGGCAAGCACCAATCATCGTCGCTGTGACGGAGAATGAGACAGTCTGCAGTAGTACCACCGGTAGGTGATTGCATGGCAAATGCGGGTAAGCAAGCACGGCAACGGCGCATGCATATATACATAGGTACATACAGTACATACTACCTACCTAGTAGTTGTACAAGTGCTTTTACCGTACTCCTCTGCCTGTTGAGGCCATCACACATCATATTGGGACAATTACGCCTACCGAGTAAGAAAGTGAGTGGCAACAATAGGTAATACCGGTATACCGATCCCTATAATACAATACAACAGTGGTCATGTTAAGCGAGCTTCGACGAAGAGCTTTGTGCCGGGACTTTAACGCTGGCCTCTGCAGCCTTCTCATGGGTACGTACTACCACAAGTACGTACGACTTTGTGTCGTGGGTTTTGATGATCATGGTCATCCGGCACTCGTCCCCCCCCGCGCAAACTTTTGGTGTCGGTGACCCTGGCTGTACCTATCTCATCCCTACACGGGGAAAGCGTGCCGGGGAGCTAGCTATGCACAAGACGCCTCTCCTCTCCCCATACTGTACTACGTATTTTCTCTCGATGCTTCCGAGAAGCGGGCAGCCAGGGAACAAACAGTCTGCTCTGCGGACTGTACGTTGCGCGAGTGGGGGTGGGGAGGGGAGGGAGCATTCACGCGTAGCGGCAAGGGCAGAACAGAACAGAGGGGATGGCAGATGGGTGTACTGCGTGGTGTGTGAGCTAGCAGAGGTGAGTGAGTAGTCGAGAAGGTCACCGGGTAGGTACGTAGAGTGAGAGATGGAGAACTCCATACGGTCAGTACTGTAGATGGATGGATGGGTGGATGGATGGATGGGTGGATGGATGGATGGGTGGATGGATGTATGCCGCTGTGGGTGGCTTCAACTGTGACTGTGGCTATTGCACGTGTGAGAGCGGGACGGATCGAGCAGAGCAGAGCAGAGCAGATTCAGCAAAGCGATAAATGCCAGGTATCGCTTGTGACTTTAAACAGCGTGGAGCTGGTCTCTTTACTTTTCGCTCTCTTCTTCTTTCACATTTCTTCTTCTTTCACTTTTCTTCTCCTTCTCCTTCTCCTTCTCCTCCTTCTTCTTCTTCTTCTTCTTCTTCCGCGGGATCGCTCCCCGAGAAAGGCGAAACGGGAATACGAAGCCTGAACTTCGCACCTACCTCTTTTGGACCAGCCGCCTTGACTCCTCCGCGGGCCGCGTTCTGCAGCGAAGCAAAGAAAATAAGAAGAGTAAAAAGAGGGCTTCCGCTCTTGACACTCCAAGTCCGGACCTGACCTACTACAAACACGCCGAGATACCCGTACTCTTCCTGAGCATCCCCGTAGGCAAGCCTCCTCACTCACTGGCCTTGGCAACGAGTGTTTTTTCCTCTCCATGAGTGCGCTCGCTGAGGCGCCGTGTGGATAATCTGAAAACGGAACAAGAAGATCCAAGGACTTTGTTGGATAGGAGCATGCTCATTCCTCGGGGATCAGCGACTTTCCTTTCGCGACCTCTTCTCCAACTGCTGTACTCACCCACGGCTCAGTCTCACATGACCATCTGCCTCTGACGACTACCTGAAGCTCATCTTGAACTCCTAAGTCCATCGTATTTTCCCACTTGTGGCCTCCCTGCTTCTCATCTCCACCACGAGCTTCTCAACCTCATGGGCATGCCTCAATGCACACTTCAGGTCGTACAGTACCTCCATCTCCAAGAGACACCCATAGACCTCTCTTACGTACTCAATTCCGAGGCCAGCTCTGGTGGAAGTGAAGTCCTCACCCTTGCAAAGCATCACACCCATTCCTCTTTTCTCCTACACAACTGGAGGCTGACTTCGGCTTTGACGAATTCTAGACTCTGCCCGTGTAAGTACACTTTGATTACCAACGGGCCTCATCATCCACGTTTCGAACACGAGGTGTACCTACCTACCTCAGCACTCGGTACTTTCCACTATCACCTTCGATTCGCCATCTCAAATTTACATTTGTGAATACTGATGTCTACTGACGATGTGATCAGCACGGATAGATGGTTTCCACACCCAGCTGACCATCCGAGAGTGCTTTAACATTACGAAGTACTCACGACCCCGAGTCATAAGTCTCACATAGTTTCCTCGCAACAGCCGGAAGGCAAGCTGCCAGCATGTCTCCCCCATTTGGCGGGCGCAGGTACTCGCCAGTCAAGGACATGTCCAAGGACCAGATGGACAAGGCTGTCGCTGAGCTGCGTGCCATCTGCAACTCGCCGGAAGACGAGATCAGAGAGGCGATTCACGCCACCGACGGGGATCTGGATGCAGCTGGGATGCGCCTGTACGGAGAGCCGATCGAACAACACGCATCTGCTTCGGAGGAAGCTGCCGCGCGAAGGTCTGTAGCCGTCGACCAGAAGGCCGCGGACGAAGAGTTCCTCGGAACCATCACGGAGGAGGCCCAGAGGAGCGACGTGCGGAAGCTCCTCGAGATCTTCCCGAACCGCAAGCCGTCGCAGATCCAGCAGGCGCTGAGACGGCGGAACTACGAATTCACCGAGGCAGCCGAGGATCTTGCAGACCTGTCGCCCTCGTCGTCTCCAGAGCCTCCTTGTAGCAGGCCCAGGCTCAAGGTCAGATTCACCAACAGAGCAGGCTCTCACGGAGCACCACCCTCTTCGTCGTCGCCGTCATCGTCCTCTGGAGTACCCCGTCTCTCTAACCACGAATCCCCAAGTTCCGAGTCGGATTCACCCATCTTCACACCGCGGACTACTGCCAGCGTGTCGCCCAAGACGGGCTCAGCGGTCTTGCCACTTCGCTATGCTGATTGGGGATTCGGTGAGCTTGGTCGTCCGAAGACTCCTGAGAAAAAGCGCGCCGACGACGAGATGGCCCACGACGGCGACAGTTCGACACCCAAGACCAAGCGAGAGGGCCGAGCCCCCGCAGTGTCTCGGCCAAGTAAGTGGGATCACTACATCATTCTAGACTCAGACGATGCCGACGATGTTGATATGGACAGCCTGCTCGACAGACCAGTCAAGAAGGAATCGAGTCCGGCCACCAGCCACGAGTCCGGAAGAGAGATTGACGTCGACGCGCTCCTCGCGGGTGTGACTGCTGCTGACGGGCATAACGCGATGATGATCGAAAGCGATCAGAACCCGAGTAACAATCTTTTTTCCAAGGAGCCTGCTCCGGAGGGAGAGGGATTACTGGGAAGTATATCTTGGGACGACAAGGTTGAGCACTTGATGACAGTCTGTCCCGCGGCGGGACGGTCCATGTGCGCCGTCGAGCTACAGCTCGCAGATGGAAACGTCGAGGAGGCTTTCCGCGAGTTGGAAGGCGAGTTCGGTGTTGGTGGTGCGATGCGCGAAGAGAGTGCCGACGAGGACGACGAGAGCGAGGAGGGTGACGACGAGGACGAGGTAGAAAGTTCCGTTGCACGCGGAAAGCGTCCAGCTTCGCTGAAGAGGCGGGCACGTCCTTCGGTAAGTTTTTCTTATTTGACCCCCTAGTTAGCGAAGGAAGCTGATCTTTCACCCTGTAGAAGCATAGTCGACCACAGAAGAGACGACATCGAGCGGAGGAAGAAGCAGCAGCAGCAGCAGCGCTAGAAGAAAGTCGGAAAATCAAGAGCACAGAAGAGGAAGAAGGTGACGACGACGATGAGGCTGAAGGTCTGGAGCCAGCATCTCAATGGGTCCAGTGAGTGCATACCACCATGTCTACGAGCCTTACCTCATTAACGGTTCTCAGAAGCACCATCCACGCCGATGACGGCGTGACGATTATTCTCGACACGGGCAGCCACGCCTGCAAAATCCCGCGCAAGATCCTCCGCAAGCTCCCCGAACTGAAAGGGATCGAGTCAATCGACGACGGAAGCTTGAAAGTTCCCCACGTCTCGCAACACACCTTCGACCTCGCCCTGCAGTGGGCCGTCTGCAAGAACGGCCGCCTCGAAAAGGCGCAGCGCAAGGACAAAGCGGCCGAGGTCGGAGCCTACGTCGATCTCGCCGTCTTCGCATCTCGCGTCGGCCTGGGTCTCGGAAGCAGCCAGTCGCCGCTGCTCGCCCGGTTGAGAGCCGTCCTGACGAGCGACCGCGACGCCCTCCTCGGGACGCACATCCGCCAGGCGTACACCCGCCTCGGCGAGGGCCACCGCGTCCGCCAGCTCCTGCTCCAGGCGTCCGTCAAGGCGTACGCGCAGTTCAAGCACCAGGACCCTGCCGACGACGACGACGACGACGACGACGGCGACGATTCCGAGGACGTCTCGGCGGAGGAGGCGCTCGCTCTGAATCCCGCCCAGCGCGCGAGCTACCTCAAAGAGAGGTTCCGCTTCGGCGCCGAGATGAGAAGTATCAAGGCCTACCGTTACGACCTGATGGAGGAGTTCCAGCGCGTGTGGTGGAGGAGGACTTCGCACCAGGTCCGGTACCGTCGCACGGCTCACTGGTGCACTCGGACGGAGCTGACGGACCCGTTGTCGGATGAGCAATTCTTCATCTCGTAGGCTGAGCCTGACGCAAAGAAAGAGAAGAAAAAAAAAGGAAGAAGAATAAAGAAAAGAAAACAAGGCCTCGGGAAAAAATCCATGCAGCAACCTTTCCGACCCCGAACGACCAATGCAACAACATCTCTTGCCCCATCCGGCGCTATACCCGCGTTTTCTTCTTCTTCTTCTTCTTCTCTCTTCATCTCTGCATAGCGCGGCGTCATCTGCTAGGTGGTCCTGCGTTTTCCCACGCCAGAAGGATAAGCATGTTTTTGTTCCTGATGTGTACATCTTCCCCACCATATGGTGGCGTCACGATTTTTTTTTTGGCTGCTCTTGCAACACACACACACATACCTATACACACCCACTCACACAGGCACACAGGCACAAAGACAGAGACACAAGAGCACCCCCACAACGCATCAAAACAAAGCACAAAGCTTGCTAGCTACTTACTCAACCGACTTCTTGGGGCGGTATCCTCCCTACCCAGCTACTGTCCCAGGCTGATCTGATCTGATCTGATCTGATCTGATCGATTGAAGGAAGGAAGGTCGGTCGAAGGAGGGATTTTTTTTGCGGCAATCAATGAAAAGAGCTAAATAGCCGCGACCAGGAACGGGTGTTGCTCGCTAGGAACGGGTCGCTAGGTAGAAAGTGAGGTGGGAAGGTAGATAGATAGGTAGCACTTGCGAAGTTGCAATTCAAGCGAGCAATCATTTTTTCAACACAGCGCAGGATAGGATAGGATAGGATAGGAGAGGATAGGAAGGAAGGTGATCGCGTGATGTGATGCCGTGAGGTTACTGCGAGACTTTTTGAATCAGGAGAGATGGTGTGATGTGTTTGGCGTGACGGGAGGTGGTTGGGGCGCCTTTAAACGTGTGGTTTGGAGGAAGGGCGAACAGGAATGTGGAACATGAACATCAGGAAATCTCATGACGGACTTGGAGAGCAGAATCTTGGCGCGCGCCATCTTATATGGTCTGTTCCCGACCGCCTCTTCGCTTAATCCGGGTTTGAGAGTCAACAAAAGAAACTTCTATTGAAGCCTGCCATAACGGCAACTGGGCAACGTGTCTGCGAGAGAACTGCTCTCGGAACCAGTGGGATCTACATCAACAACCTCCATGCACCAAGAATCAAGGCCGCGGTACCTGTGCATACCCCCATAAGCCTATTCACCCAATTAGTAGGTGCATCAATCGATGATTCGGGGGGCCGAGAGGAAGTCCTCATCTCGGATACCCAGGATCCGAGAGTGTCAGGGCGAAGGCCAACATACCACTGCAAAGTCTGGAACTTGACCGCCTCCAGCTTCTCCCGCAACCCGCCTACCTCCTGCTCAATCTTCATCTCCGTCTCCTTGATCTTGAGCTCCTGCACTTTCGCCTCCTCCCTGATCCGCCCCTTCTCCAGATTAAGATCCAGCCTCACCGACGCCTGAGTCCTGACCACCTCGTCCCGCAGCCGGCTGTTCAGCTTCGCGAGGTCGTTGGTGAGGCGCTCGTGGGAGGCGCGCGTGGTGGCTACCTCGGTGGAGTCGGCGGAGAGGAGCTCGGAGCGGAGCTTGGCGAAGTCGACTTTCTGCGTGTAGGTTGCCTTGGCCTGGTCTTCGCGGAGGACCATGGTGCGCGTGAGGTTTTGGATACTGGAGGGGGAGGGGAGTGTTAGCTGGGTTGGGTTTCTGGAAGGGGCTTTGGGCAGAGGGGAGCGGACCTTTCTTCGATAACGTCGCTGAGCACCTTCATCATTGCGACGGACTGGGCCTCGGTGAATCCCTCTTCTTTCAGCCTCTGCACGAACTTGAGGGTGTCGAAGTGGTGGTCGCGGGACCGGCGGGCCGTGGCGTGGAAGGCTCGGTGGTGGGAGGGGTTTTGCAGGATGCTGCATCTGGGGCGCGGGATGCCATCTTGTCTTTTGCGAGTGAGGGACTTGCTGGAAATTGCGCCTCTGTGCCTAGAGGGCGCGATATAGCTGGACTGAGTGCTTAGAGCTCGGAATGTTTGTTGTTGCATGGGCGAAGCTTGCCAGCTCAGTTTGGGTAGGAGAAACCTTGGAAGCGCTTTGGATACGCCTGCGGTCGTCATGGTATATGAATAGTAGATGAGTAATGATTTAACGAAGTGCTAAGAAGTCTGCTGGATGCTGTAAGTATCTCCATTGACTCAAACGATGATTCAAAGACCTCGAATTTCCTCTGTCGGGCTGGTACCACGTGACACACACCCCTCGTTACCGCCCCGCTTCTATCTAGCCCACTCAAATATTTATGACTGTCCAGTAACTCTATCAAAAGACCTCTTTACGCCGCCACCGAATACCCTCGACATACGCACGAAACCAACCGCGAACTCCAACAGCCTCAATCTGAACCTTGCATCAAGACCCCCTACGCTCACCATGGCGGCGATCGGAGATAGGTACGGTAACGATATGGATAGCGACTCCGACTCTGCTCCAGGCTCCCCTGGTCTGGACGCGCAATACGACTTCGACGACAACGTCGAGGAACTCGATGAGAAGCACATCAAGTCCGCGTTGAAGAAGTCGCCAAACACGGAACCCGCGCCCCAAATAATCCGCCCTATCCTGCCCCCCCAAACAGAGCCCAAAGACCTCGACCTCAAGACCCTTACTCCTTTGACCGCAGAGATTATCGCCCGACAGGCTACGATCAACATCGGCACGATTGGACATGTGGCGCATGGAAAATCGACGGTTGTTAAAGCCATCTCGGGCGTGCAGACAGTCCGCTTCAAGAACGAGCTGGAGCGGAATATTACCATCAAGCTAGGTTACGCCAATGCCAAAATCTACAAGTGCGACAACAAAGAGTGCCCAAGACCGACGTGCTTTAAGAGTTTCAAGAGTGACAAGGAGGTTGATCCAGCTTGCGACCGCGATGGATGCTCTGGAACATACAGATTACTTAGACATGTCTCGTATGTATGCCAGGCTAGCAGGAAGAGGGCTTGTGGCTAACCGATCACAGTTTCGTTGATTGCCCCGGTCACGATATTCTCATGAGCACTATGTTGTCTGGAGCGGCAGTTATGGATGCTGCGCTCTTGTTGATCGCAGGTAACGAAACATGCCCACAGCCTCAAACCTCCGAACATCTTGCAGCCATCGAAATCATGAAGCTTGACAAGATCATTATTCTCCAGAACAAGGTCGATTTGATGAGAGAGGAGGGCGCAAACTCACACTACATGGACATCCTGAAGTTCATCCGAGGAACTGTTGCTGGAGGTGCACCGATTATTCCGATTTCTGCTCAACTGAAATTCAATATCGATGCTGTTAATGAGGCCATTGTCAACACCATTCCTGTGCCTCTGAGAGATTTCACCCAAGACCCACAGATGATTGTTATCCGTTCATTCGATGTCAACAAGCCAGGTGCCGAGATTGATGAGCTAAAAGGAGGTGTTGCCGGTGGAAGTATCTTGCACGGTGTTATCAAGCTTGGTGACGAGATCGAAATCAGACCTGGAATCGTCACGAGGGATGAGAAGGGAGCAATCAAATGCACGCCTATCTTCAGCAGAATCGTAACCTTGAATTCGGAGAACAACGAGCTGAAGTACGCAGTACCCGGTGGACTGATTGGTGTTGGAACCCGAATCGACCCTACACTCTGCAGAGCCGATCGCCTGGTTGGATTCGTCCTCGGACTGAAGGGCCGCCTCCCTGATATCTACATCGAAATTGAAGTCAACTACTACCTCCTCCGCCGACTTTTGGGTGTCAAGACCGCCGACGGAAAGCAAGCAAAGGTTGCCAAGCTGGCGAAGAACGAGGTCCTGATGGTGAACATCGGATCCACTGCCACTGGCGCGAAGGTTGTGGCCGTAAAGCAGGATGCCGCGAAGCTGGTTCTGACGAGTCCCGCGTGCACGAACGTTGGGGAGAAGGTTGCGCTGTCTCGCCGTATCGAAAAGCATTGGCGATTAATCGGATGGGCTACCATTGCCAACGGTGTGACCTTGGACCCAAGCACTTCTTAAGGGTGTTGTTAGTACCTTTTCTTATTCATCTGTAGCCATTGCATAGGGACTTGATAGGCGGTGAGGCAAAAGCTACGATGAGATAGATGGAAATTTGCACTTCATGAGTCATTCCTGGAAGGCTGTCCCGCCCAGCTAGGGATGATATGTATGTATCTAGACCCTGCAGGCCTTGAAGAAGCCTCGGCTACTCTTGAGTTCCGGGGCCCCTTAATGCCAAACCAGATTTATTCCGAAGTTGATGATGGTGAAGGCTGCAAGGATTAGTCAGTACCCAAGATAAAGTAAGCTTTGCCATGGACCTTAACTTGCTTAGGGTCAGGTTTCTCTCACTTAGAGTTCCCGGGGTCTTCGCTTGTCATGATCAACAAGAATGCCAAACCCAACCTCATGTTGACACTGACAAGCAACGTCAGCCGAAATGGCCTAGGAATCAATGGCCTCCTTTGATATTGACATGGTAAACGCGTTGCCTGTTCCAGTCAACCGAAGCGTTAAATACCATCTCAGACCCGGCTCGGACACTCCTCATACCTCTGCACCGGCTTTTTCGCACAGGCCGAGCCTATGACCGATCAAGCGACGCGGGCAGTGCAGTGCAGAATTGAAGAAGGGGAGAAACATGACATGACGACGGAACGACCGCCTGGCTGCCTCAACTCACCTGGACCGTTTCCTCGGAGATGTCATGGATCGATCCCTTCCGTCCACTTGTGGCCCCTCCGTTTGCTTGCAAGTCCATGTGCATTTCACATTCCACAGCACATGGATGGCATGGCACGTCGCCACCCGGTACCTACCGGTACCTTTCCTGTGTACGGTAGCAAATGTGACTCTGGAGAACACCAAGATTCGTCTTGTCTTGCTGGGTGCCGAGAATGTTGAATGTTGAATGTTGAAGTTGCGATTCGCTCATGCCAGCACGTTTTTTGAGCTCGTTGATCATCTACGAAGATGTAAGCTTCGACCGAGCAGCGGTGCGCTACTGTGAGGTAAGTAGTATACCAAGTAAGTACGGATAAGTAAAGATGTACTGTGCCTCTCTGCCTCTGTCTCTGCCTCTCTGCCTCTGCCTACCGCCTACCCCTGCACCCACCTGACCCTGATATAAAAGACTTCCCAATCTCCATTCCCCGTAATCCCCAAGCCTAGACAACTTCAAAACTCAACCACTCTTTTCGGGCTCTCACGCACCGGTAAAGCTTCTCCCCTCCACAACGACACGGCATACGCTACACTCCCTCACCATGTCGGATGTAAAGGCATACGAGATGCAGCACGAGCCCGCCACTGCCAGCCCGGATGATGCGCCGTCCAGGGCCGAGACGCTGAAGAGTCCTTCGACCGTGAACTTCATGGTCCACGAGAAGGCTGGTGGTGAGGCAGATGCCGCTGAATCAACGGCTCACCCAAACAAAGAGCTATCGGCGGTGAATGTAGAGGATTCGAAGGCGGATAGCTTGACCAGAATCAATACAAGTTCGGAAGGAACTGAGTATCCTACTGGTGTCAAGCTGGGTCTGATTTCTTTGGCGCTGTGCTTGAGGTTTGTTTACATTCCACCACGTGTAGAGAAGGTTATTGACAGTCGCAGTGTCTTCTTGATTGCTTTGGACAATACTATTATTGTAGGTTCTTATGTTGCTTTTCCTACCGTTTGTCCAGCATGATCCATAAAACCTTATACACCTAGATACATCTGAGCTACGGTGCAAAGGGGCGTCAGATCCAAGCATTCCTTGAGCCACTGATCACATCAGATATATACCATACAAAACCCAATGTCTCCAGTCTCAGAATGCTGATATAGCCACAGGCCACCGCTATCCCCAAGATCACAGACGAATTCCACTCCCTGCCGGATGTTGGTTGGTACGGTTCCGCGTACTTGCTTACGACCGCCTCCTTCCAACTTCTCTTTGGGAAATTCTACACCTTCTTCTCTATCAAATACGTCTACCTCATCGCCATCGCTATTTTCGAGTTGGGATCTTTGGTTTGTGGTGTTGCTCCCAACTCGACCGCTCTGATCATTGGAAGAGCTATCGCAGGTCTTGGATCCGCTGGCATCTTCTCTGGAGCTCTGATCATCGTCGCATACAGCGTGCCACTCGTCAAGAGACCCATGTACTCGGGCTTCATCGGGGGCATGTACGGGATTGCTTCAGTGGCGGGGCCTCTCTTAGGTGGCGCGTTCACTGACAAGGCTACATGGCGCTGGTGTTTCTACATCAACCTCCCCATTGGAGCCATTACCATGCTTGTCATCCTGTTCTTCTTCAAAGCACCACACAGAGAGAAGGCAGTAAGTGGAGGCTGGAAGGAAGACATCAAGGTCTTCGACATCTACGGAACCGCTGTCTTCCTCCCTGCGATCGTCTCCCTCCTTTTGGCGCTGCAATGGGGTGGCACCCAGTATGCTTGGGGCTCTTGGAGAATCATCTTGCTCTTCGTCTTCTTTGGAATTCTGGTCATCGCCTTCATCGCGATTCAATTCTGGAAACAAGAGACAGCAACTGTCCCCCCTGAGATCATGAAGAAACGCTCTATTTGGTCCGCAGCCTGGTATTCTTTCTCTATTGGATCCATGTTTCTCTTGCTCGTCTACTACCTGCCGATCTGGTTCCAAGCAGTGAAGGGAGCTTCAGCTGTCAAGTCTGGAATTATGAACATCCCTATGGTCCTGTCCCTCGTTGTCGTATCCATTAGCTCTGGTATCGGAGTTACCCTGCTGGGCTACTACACACCCTTTATGCTTGCAGGTACCGTCTTTGCAGCGGTTGGTGCCGGTCTTCTGTCAACCTTCACACCTGAGACGAACCATAGCGCTTGGATCGGGTACCAATGCATCGCTGGCATCGGTGTCGGCCTCGGCTTGCAGCAGCCCATGATTGCTGTCCAGGCCGTCCTCGACATCTCGCAGGTTCCCATCGGCACATCGATCGTCATCTTCTTGCAAACTCTGGGTGGCGCCCTCTTCGTTTCAATCGGTCAGAACGTCTTCACCAACAAGCTTGTTCAAGGTCTCGCCAAATACGCACCAAGCATCGACCCCAAGGCCGTCCTCCAAATCGGGGCTACTAGCCTCCAAAGCGAACTCTCTGCAGCCGAACTCCCCGGCGTGAAGATGGCCTACAACGAGGCTCTCACAAAGTCCTTCCTGGTAGCTGCCGCCATGGCCGCCTTCTCCATCATCGGCTCGGCAGCTATCGAGTGGAAGAGTGTAAAGGGCAAGAAGATCGAGATGGGTGCTGCTTAGCCTTTCGTCTGACTGCTTGCGCGCGCGGAAATATACCCCCCGGCGTTTGAAGGTTTATTATGCCACTAGATGGCTCTGGATGGTCGTCTTGCAGTTAGTTACTTATATGGACTTCTTGTAATCTGTAATTGTATTTTCGGGGTCTGACCATCCACATATGGGGATTATTACATTCTTGCATTTCCCTTTCTCTTCCGTGTGCATGGATCATGGATGGATGGGGATGGGTAGCCTTGGGTTATGGCTCTCTTTCTGTGATTGTAGCATAGCATAGCATAGCATAGCATAGCATAGAATGGGTGTTTTAGTCATAGAAATAAGCCACACCCTCTTCTCGTGATTACATTGATGTTAACATAAAGGTGCTTTGGAATCAATACACAAATACTTCTTCCATCTATATCTCTCTATCATCCATCGCAGCTACGAAGTATAGGCAGATGGATATACCCAGATAGAGAAAGATATTAACAAGACGGAAGGCTTGGAAGGGGGGGTGTCGCTACTTCGTATCGATGTCTGTCTGTCTGTCTGTTGGTTGATTGATTGGTATCCGGGATATTCTCACTCGGATGCTGGTTGCATAGGTTGCGTAGACACGGGAATCACCCGCCGCCTCCGTCTCGCTTTCCTCCATGTTAACCTGATACTTCCTTCGCACGTCCATATCAAAGACAGTCACACCATCCAGGAATTCGAAACGAAATGTCTCGACTCGTGGCCATTTAAGGAAGGGATCATTCATCCACCATCTACCCACCCTGCTGCCAGATTAAACTTATACAGAGAATCGCGTCTAGCCTACACGCCTGATCGCCCGAGTTCCACGCTCTAGATAAAGTAGCGGCAGAGAGTATCAACGCCCAGAAATACCCCCGTGTTTTGTTTTCCCTTGTCCAAGCAACCCCCCTGCTACTCATCATCGTCACCATCAGTCATTTTCCGGACCTTCGTCCCGTTCTTCAACAACGCAGCCTTTAGCTTATCCGTGACATCCTTCTTTCGCGCAACCTGCGCCCGCAATATCATCTTCTCCTCTGCCGAGTAGCCACTCAGCTTCTTCTTTGGGGGCGAGCCTCTCCCACGTGAACCAACAGACGACATCAACGAGTTCTGGAACCGTGAATGGCTGTCTTTGACACTTTCCGGGGTGTGGAACAAGCTCGAGGCACCGAGATTGCGCACCGATGCTCTGTTGTTGGTTGGGGTCGCGAATGGTGAGCCCTCGCGGCTACCACCAACAGAGCCGAAGCGAAGTCTACGCATCTGGCCCTCGAGGACATCGATATCGCCGCTGCGCTTCTCGGCCATGCCCGTCATCTTTGTGATGGTGCGCATGACGGCTTCAACGGTAGGGCCAGCGGATCCACCATCCCGGCCGTTATAAGAAGCATGCGAGACGAGCTTCGCTTTTAGCACGGATAGCCCTTCCTCAGCTTCTGAGAGAAGGCGTTGAAACTTGGTGAAGTCTCTTCGGAGGTCTGTTTGTTGTATGGCTTGGTCGGCGCTTAGAGGCTGTGCCCGAGCGATGGCGACCGTGTCGGGATCCAATAGGGAGTTCAGTGCCTTCTTGACTTCTTGGGACTTTGCTCGTAGTCTGTTGAGGTCTCGCTGTAGACTTTCGCATGCCTCGAGCTTGGTTTTTGCGTCTTTGACACGTGCAGCCTCGAGGTCTTGCCCAAGATTTTCCTCAACGAGTCTCGAAAGACGTTCAATCTCTGACAAGCACCAATCATCACTCTCCTCAAGATCTTCCCTACCGCGCCCTTCATCCTTGTACTGGTCTTCATGAGCCAGAATGAAACATTTCAGAGACCGTGAGTTCCATCCTAGAGTATCAATCATACGATTAATATCTCGGAAGACGGCCTCGATCTGTGCTGGGACGTTCTCCATCGTTGAATTGCCATCGTAATCTGTATGTGTTGCAAAGTCTTCCAGCTTTCTTGACGGTACGACTGGCGCATGAACTTCCGCCTGGAACTTCGCATCCTCTGCATCTAATTCCAATGTCTGGGATTCCTCTGCTTCCTGTCGGGATTTGGCGGCTTGGCGACGCCTATGTTCTGCTTGCATCTCCTCTTGGGTCTGTTTGAGTGTGTCCTGAGCAGGCCCATTGGGTCGAACGCCCAGACGTCGAGATCCTAGCAATTCAGATGCAAATCCGGGAGCGCTTGATGATCTGGGAGCTTCCGGACGATGTAGCCTGCCAGGTATCGCACTCCGTAAAGGGCTCGGTGATCGAGGACTGTTTTGCATCTTGGGTGGGGGAAGAATAGGAGCATTCCTGTTTACTTCGCCAAAAAGGGATCTTGTCTGACTCGATTGATCTGGCTTGTTGATTTTAGTGAAAACGTTTGCTTCCTGGTTTCGGGTTTTCGTTCCACCAATGGAACTCTCTGGAGAGAACGCCGGAGTCTGGTTGTTCTCCGATGTTGGGCTAAGGTCTTTTGCAACATCTTCGCCGCTACCCTCTTCGCTGAGCTCCTCACTGGCTTCTTCGCTTACTTCGCCCTCCTCTTCTGTCAAAAAACCGGAGTCGGAACCCTCGTCTGGGCCGCCTGGTACATCACTGGGAGGGATAAGATCAGCTCGGATTGGATTGAGGACGGGCAGAGCTAGGGCTGGAGCTGGAGATGTCTGCTTGCGCTTCGTGCTTAAGAAATCTGGAGGCAGAGGAGCATCATTTGTGACAGAAGATCCGCTTGATTGTCCAGCGGCATAGCTAGATTTGCTAGTCGTATCCGGCGGTAGAGGAGCCTCGGGGATTTCTTCACTGTCTGAGTCGGGTTCTGGCTTCACTTTAGGCGAAGACGGAGTCTTCGGGAACGGGGCTTGTGTTTGAGACTCAATGAGTGTAGGTGTCTTGGGGCCAGGTGAAATGTCTTTGTTCAAGTTGCTGAAAGTACTAAATGGGCTGGGTTTTGGATTGTCACTGGATGATGGGTCAAATACAAAACCTGCAGAGCCTGCCTTGGGGGGTTGGTCTGATGGGCTTCCAAAGACATTGCTTCCAGCGGGAGCTGAGGTTCCGAAAAGCGACGTTTTTGGCGGTGCTGGAGTAGAAATTGGTGTTGTGGAGCTGAATATTGCGGGCCCGTCTTTGCGAGGACTGTCATCGGCATCCATATCAGCTTCTTTCGACACGGGTGTTTCTGCAGTCGATTGATTTGCAGCTTCTCCCAGAGCACTATCGAAATTGCTACCAAAGAGCCCACCAGACTGGCCCGGTGGCTCTGAGTCGTCATCCTTGGCAGAAGGATCGGCCTCGAAAGAAGATTTGAGGCTGAATCCACCACCAAAAATGTTCTTTGACTCAGTGGCGGGAGCGCCACCGAAGAGAGTGTTCTTGCTAACAGGAGTAGCGGCAAATGATGTGCTGGTCGTGGCGGCAGGAGCTCCAAATGGTGTGCTGGTCGTGGCGGGAGGAGCTCCAAATGCTGTACTGGTAGCAGCGGACGAAAAGGGGTTTGGTGTCTGAGCAGAAGTACCAAATATACTTCCGCCTGATGCTGCAGCCGCTGCGTTACTCCCGAAGCCACCCTTGGTAGCAAATGCAGCAAAGCCAGAGGACGCCGGGGCATTGCCAACATTTGCGGGGGTTCCAAACGGCGAGGCTTGAGTGGTCAGTCCGCCAGGCTGGCCAAAAGCCGCGGCAGGGGCTGTGCTCCCTCCAGTTGCCCAGGGAGAGGCTCGGTTTCCTAGAGAAGGTACACTGGTAGCTCCAAAACTTGGAGTTCCAAATGATTGGTTTGGTGCAGCGGAAGTAGCACCGAATGCTGTTGATCCAAATGCTGGGCCACTGCTTCCAGCCGGCGCGGCAGGACTAGTACCAAAGGTTGATGATCCAAAGGCCGGGCCACTGCTTACAGCTGCTGGTGTTGCGCTTGCACCCCAGGGCGACTGCTTATTCCCGAGACCAGACGGGGCACCAAAAGCACTAGTTGAAGGTACAGAGAGGGCTGGAGATCCAAACGCAGCAGTGGGTCGAGGTGCTCCAAAGGCAATGCTGGTACTTGGCGATCCTCCAAAGGGACTTGATCCGAATGAAGGCTGCGCGGGTGAAGCAAAGGCTGGAGCCGGGGCCGTAGATTGTGTTGATTTTGGTATTGTTGCCGTAGTCTGAGATCCACCTGCAGCCACAAGGCCAGGAAATGCCGTACCTTGCCTGATCGAGTCCAGATAGATAACCCACCAAGCAGCCAAGACTCCCTCATTATTCAGAACCATAAGAGCAGGCACTGGAGTGGGCGATTCGTTCATTTCATCCCCTGGGATAGGCTTCTCGACCGTTTCCTTGCTGGATAGATCCATGGCGAAACCAATAGGGGAGGTATCTGACAGCTCCGCAGTCATAGGAAGAGCCGCCCGACGAGAGTCATCTGACATCTCTGTCAATGTGAAGACCCCCGTAATCTGGTCTGCTGGCTTGTCAGAAGTCAAAGGGACCTTCGACCTGCTAAATAAACCAATGTCTGCCGATGCTGATGAGGCAACAAGGATGAGATCTTGCAGATTGGGTGGAAAGTCCCTGAGACGAAGAAGGAAGTGATGAGGGGGGGAACGATTCAGTCCAAATGGCCCAGCCGGGTCAGCTATTTTCTGGAACATGAAATTTGATGGCTGCTGCTGTTGTCTAGTGACGATGTTGAATGTTGACTGTGGTGCCACACTGGTATCATACTGAGATGGCGTATAAACCACTAGGAAGACGTGGTTTTCGAGCCATGTAATGGAAGAGACTGTGTATGTTAATGGACATTGCCTACTATTTGATTTAGAATTAGCTTACCATGGTCTCCACCATTTCCACCTGGTGGGAAAGGAATTACTGCTTTTCCCTCTCCTTCTGGGGTCATCTGATAGGCGGTACCGTCTCCAAGGCCGGCTACCAGCTGTTTACCCTTCGCACTCCAGGATACACAGCTCACACCATCCTTGAGGACCGATCCATTGGGTCCAGCCATGATTTTCTTTTCCTTCAGATTGGCCATCATCAACTTGCCATCTATCGTTACCAGGGCGATCAGCTCTCCCTTCTCTGGTGTAGGATTGGGAACAAGAGCCCTCAGCGACAATTGCTCGGTAGAAATCTGGAAGGCCGAATTTGTATTGCCTTGCAGCAAGGTCTGAACCTCATAGACAGCTAGTCCCCCTCCGGTCTCGGCAGACAATACTAGGTACTGCTCATCTGCAGTGAACGCAACCTGGGATAGCCGCATAGACATCTGGATCCTCAATTGCGGTTCGAATGGCTTTACGTCTCCCCCATCTGGACCCTCAAACGCCTTGCGAACCGACTCGGTGGTTGCGAGTATGACCGTATCTGGTCCAGCTGCTGCAACGAGACCTCGCTGCGAAGCTATGCTCATGAGAGACGATGTGGGAGGTGGTAGCTGGTCCGCGGGCCATGCTGTTGGAATTAATTGGATCTTCGCCGAACCAGACAGTGCTCGAAAGTATATGTTCTGCGGCGTAGTTAGCATCTCGCTCGTGTATTGCGCTTAGAGCGACCAGCAACCTTGCGCAGTTCCCTCCTCTCTGTTCTTACATACCTCTGTTTGAATTACTGGAAGGTCGGAACCGGTCTGTACATTGGGCCCCACAGACGCCGCTGCCGGCGCAGAGTTCCCAAAGCTAAATGCCATGACGGTCGCAAGATATCCAGCCTTGGGAGGGGTTGCGAGCTACGGGAGACTCCTGCGCATTGAGTCCAGAGGTGTCGTGTCGACGTTGATCAAGGCCGAGAACTTTTTGTAGCTTAGGCACGCGCTGGGCTGGGATTTGAAAGTTCTTGTGAGTACAGACAGACCGCTCAGCTTCGAGATGAATTTCGTGTTAGAGACGCAAGCTTTGGAGGTGAGTGCAAAGGTGGATTTTCCAAATTCCAGTGCTCTTTCTTGACCTTTCCCTCGAGATGGTTTACTGGGAGATGGTTGCTGGTGAAGCTACGGGAGACCCAAGAAAATAAGCACCATGTCACGTGCCTGGTAGCTCTCCCTGTCGTTTGGACGCGAGGCGCGAGCTGCCTGCGATTGAATTACAACCGAAGCAACAGCTCTCCTAACAGCCTCCGTCAACACCATAAAATCATCTGCCCCGTATCTCGATCCCGCCACCCGCCATATCTGCTACAGATCAAATTCACAAGTTTCTGAGCTCCATCTGCCACCATGCCCGGCTTTGACTTCTCTAACCACACTCGCAATGCTGCGTTGCACGCAAGAGGTGTCCCGCTCCCCAAGGCTACCAGTACTGGAACTACAATTGTTGGTTGCATATTCGATGGGGGCGTTGTGGTATGTACATGTACTATTCCAGAATACTGGCCTTGAAGGGATGGGATTGATGCGACTCAACCTTGTGCCCAGAGAGCTTCCTCCAGACTCAAAACACTTCATGGTTCGTTGCTAATTAATTGTCTTCAGATTGCTGCGGATACCAGAGCTACCAGTGGACCAATAGTGGCTGACAAGGTAAGTTATTGAAGATATGTGGTCAGGATCATGAGCTGATCTCCATGTCAACAGAACTGCGAGAAGCTTCACTACATCGCCCCTCAGATCTGGTGTGCCGGAGCTGGTACTGCTGCAGATACAGAATTCACAACCGCCCTCATCTCCTCACAACTAGAACTCCATTCTCTCTCCACTGGCCGCAAGCCTAGAGTCGTTACCTGCATGACAATGCTCAAGCAACATCTTTTCCGTTACCAGGGACATATCGGGGCGTACCTGGTCGTAGCTGGTGTAGACCCAACCGGTGTTGGATTGTTCACTGTCCACGCACACGGAAGTACGGACAAACTTCCGTATGTTACCATGGGAAGTGGTTCGCTCGCAGCTATGTCCGTTTTCGAGACCCAGTGGAAGTCGAAAATGACAGAACAAGAGGCAATCGACCTGGCATCTAACGCTATCCAAGCTGGTATTTTCAACGATTTGGGCTCCGGATCAAACGTTGATGTCGCGGTCATCACTAAGGAGAAGACGACACTGAAGAGAGGTTACATCAAGCCCAACGAGCGAAGCAAGAAGCAAAAGAGCTATGTCTTCAAAAGAGGTACTACGGCTGTTTTGAACGAGAAGATCATCACAAGGGAAGAGATCAGCAAGTATGTGACGGTACACGAGCTGGAGGGAGGGGAGGCGCAGTTGGGGGAGAAGATGGATCTGGATGTTTAGAGAAGATGTTTGGAGAAAGGACCAATTGTACCAACATCGTGGCTTGGAAGGCTGCGTATTCGTCTGGTGTGTATTATGAGCAGCTGACGAAAAATGCACGATTTTCGAAGCATTTGCATGATATTTTTACCCAGAAACGCAATTTCAGTGACGGTTACTCGACAAGCTCTGCAGGGTATCCTTCTGTAAAGCTTGTTCAACAACACAACATAGTTATCTCGCAGATTCTCGAACCCATTCGTCAATGACATGTGTACGGGGCCCGGGTGTGTTATCGACGCGACATCACATTTTCGAGCTTCGTTTTGGCTGACGCTCCATCGCTATCACTGTCGAAGCATGAGCAAAGGAAAACTCGCCATCTTTTAACTTGTGTCCTACTAGGCGAAAGCTGGTCCCTGTACTATACTGCGAAAAACTGGACAATTTCCAAGATATCGACCTGAGTCGCGAGCTACAATCAAGCTGAGGTCCGGAGTTGTCCTCTTGTTTTTTTTTTTGGCTTAGTTGGTTAATATCTAATTATCCAAAATTTCTCAGATATTTGCAAGGCTCTAAAAGCTCGGTGCAATAGACCTCCAAACATGACGAGTACCGTACCCGCGATCAACAACTAGCTTTTGCCGTTATTAGGGAAAATGATTTGTCAGGGAAAAGTAACCCCAATGCTACTCGGGTTCTCCTCTCTTTCTGGCCCGGCTTTATTTCTCGTCCTCATATAATGACGAAAGTTGACTACTACCTATACCTGCGACATTGCTACGCCTGTACGTATAATAAGCGGAAAATACGCCCCCAGGTATCAAAACAAGCCGCTTTCGAGAAAAATTCTTGACAATTGGAACATCCCATACTCGTTCTTGACTAATTTCATTGGTTACATATAGTTGGACCAACTTGCTGACTAACCGAGTCAATACCAGCCTGGTCTTGCACTTCCACATTCAAATCCGGCCGAAGATTGAAGTCTATGCATGAGCTCTGAGTTGAGACCGTTAGGATCCAATAATTATCATACCTGGGCTGGATTTATAACAGTAGTTAACAAAAGCTGCCCCTGAATCCTGGCCGTCTTCCCCACTCGAGAAGCCTTTAGACAACATGGATTACTATACAGGCTTTGGCAACGCCAACTTCCAAGAGCAAACCTCTCCTGAAAAGAGTCAGCAGTCCTCTAACGACGCTGTGAACTCGTCCTATGTTCCTACAGCTACCGAGGGCTTCTCATCACCAAGTTCTTCCGCGCATGCAGCTAGCAACGCAGCATCGATCTCGTCTAATCAAGCGCCACCTCCACGCATCAGAAGGAGGAATCGCATGATAACAAGTTGTCTAGAATGCCGTCGCCGAAAGCTGAAATGCGACAAGTCCCACCCGTGTACCAATTGCACCAAGTTCAGGAGGGATTGTGTATGTCCCCTGCTTATCGAGAAGAAAGTACATACGATATTGACATACTATTTAGGTCTTCCTAGCGCCTGCGCTCGACCAAGCGAGTCAGCTCAAACTCAACGAGATCAAAGAGAAAGTTGGCTCACTAGAAAGGCTGCTGGAACGAGATGTCGCAAAGAACCCTCAGAACTCAACGACTATGCCAAGTCAGGATAGAGCGTTGCCTGATGATACGGATGACGACTTGCCTGCGAAGGAGGATGAGAAAGACTTGGAGGTCACTCCTCTTGCTGTAGTTGATGCTGCCTATGAGGTAGATTGCGAAGATGACGATCTCTTGGACCTGGGAATCCAAATGGGGAAGATGAGAATTACCGAGCGCATTGGAGGCTTCTTTCGTCCAAAGATCAGTGAAGAGGTGTGCGAGTTTTCTGTTGTCAACCCTTGTCGCCTGTGATTTCCCTTCTGGTCTCTGACGAAATCATGATCACATTTCGAATATTCTCCAGGTACTCGAAGTACCTGAAGACATTGTCGGCTACACATGCTGCGACTATTTTTTTCTCTCTCTCGTTCCAAGTTCAGTGGTTTTCGCAGAGACATGTTTGTTGACCAGAAACTTGTAGCTGGAATTTACGATGTCGGAAACGTTTATGACCGGTGATAAGAATGGAGACGAAGAAAAAGTACTTTCAAAGCCCGAGGTTACATCACCACCCCCTGCCACAGAATGGCTGAAGCCAGGGCCCGCTTACATTCTACCAACGTCTGGCTTCTTCTTTGGGGGCACTGGGTCACAAGCTTCACTGGTCGACTTTCTCCCATCTCGACTTGCCGCGGACAAACTCATTAGGCAGTATTTTGCCTGTGTGCATCCAATCTGTCAAATTTTGCATCGACCTACGTTTGAGAGAAAATGGGAAGCCTTCTGGAAAGAGGTGACCCTTGGCATTGAGCCGCCAAGCTCAGTGCAGACAATTGTGTTTGCAGCCATGTTCTCAGGCGTTGTCAGTATGGATGATTCTGAGATCATGCGGGGGTTTGGTGTCTCTAAGGTATGTGCTCCTGGGCCTTGACGGAGTGGATTCAGAGCGTTTTATCATTTCCAAACCCCTTTCAATTTACTTGAATGTGTTGCTGAATCAAGGTCAATTACAGGCCAGTCTGATAGAAAACTTTAAGCTGGGTACCGAAACCGCCCTGGCAAGAGCCAATTTCCTTAGAACGACCAAGATAGAAACTCTCCAGGCGTTTGTGATGTATCTGGTAAATTCTACCACTAAGTCATGTTTACTCGGCTAATGCTAGCGAGATACCCCTTTGTCGAGCAGAAATGTCCCGAGCGCACTCCGTCCTACTAGGTGCTGCAATTAGAATGGCGGAATGCATGGGACTCCACCGCGACGGACAAACGTACGGCATGAACCCTCTGGAAACCCATGTCCGCCGGCTGGTCTGGCACCAGTTGTGCTTCCTCGATATCCGTACCTGCGAAGCTCAGGGCCCGAGACCGACAATTCGCCGCGACGAGTTTGATACCAAGCTGCCCCTGAATGTGAACGATGCCGATCTTCATTGCACTGGGAATGCACCCGTAGGCGCCGATCAGTGGACTGACGTCACTTTTTCCTTGATACGATTCGAAATCAATGAAATGATCCGAACCATCTGGATCGATAGACCCCGAATCGAGCGCCGGAAGATTAGTCTGACGGCAGTGCTCAGCAAGATCGAGACTTTCCGTTCGAACATGGCAGCAAGATACGATCATCTGATCGATGAGAGAATACCACTTCAGAAGTGTGCAAAAATTGTCAAGGTAAACAAGAACCTGCTAAACATTGATCTGAGGATGTTTTTTCTGATTTTTTTTTAGGCCCTACTTATGTCTCGGCTGCAAATCATGGTCCTTCATCGCTATCACAGCTCCATTGTAACTCCAATGCCAGATCGGCTGAGGAAGATAATGCTCTCCGCAGGTACAACCACACTGGAGACAGCCATTGCTTTGGAGACTATCCCAGAATTAAAGCCTTGGTCCTGGTATGTTGGTGCTTACCAGCAATATCACACTGCTTTCCTTCTGCTCATGGAAGTATATGTCTATCCTGAGAGGAAAGAGGTAGATCGAATCGTAAGTGACCGCCTCCCTCGTCTCGTTTCGCCCAGAGTATTGTTACGGATTTGGGACATCTATATTGACACTCTCTAGTGGGCTTGCCTAGACTACGTTTTTGAGACAGACGCAAGCCAGCCCCGGGGCTCCAAGGGTAAGAAGATCTTGCAAGAGCTGCAGCAGAAGACAGCCGTTTACCAAAGCATGCGCGGCATGCGGGCGCCCATAGTAATGGAGAAGCACGTTGGACAGCGCGAACCACGGGTCGCCGACAGGCTGAAGGCCGCGCTACCAGAACAGCAGAAACAGCAACAGCAGCAGCAGGTTGATCCCGAGCCGCTGCTGTATGAGCAGACTGCACTGCCAGCTTCAGCATCTGGTATGATGCCGACGGTAGGCAAGGTACCCTTTGCTATGGCACGAGACATCCAGTTCGCAGGCGTGAGCGACGGACAGAGTCTCTGGGCGTTGCCGAATAGCCAGTCGAGTCCGGAAGCGAGTAGTGACACGGCGAGCTTGCCAGGTCAGATGGCTGGGAACGCCCTACCGGCTGGCGCGCTTCAAGACGACCTGATGGCTGATATTGACTGGGTCAGTGTTCTGGGGCGGCAATCCCTCTTATCTCCTTACTGATGATGCTCAGGATGCTTTCGACGCTCTGTTTCCCCCAGGACAGCAGGGTGAACCTGAAATAATCGGGTTCTCGTTCCCAGGGGCTCAGGGTGTTTACTGATCGGACACAATCGTAGGGGGATGATGAGGGTGCCAAAAACATCAACAGAGATAAGAAGGGTTGGTCGGGGAGAAGGAGAGTCCAAATTTTTTACTTTTGAGTTGGTGCTGGTGCTGGGTGCAGGAAAAGGGCAGATTTGAGCCCATGCTTCGCTGCGCAGAAATGGTATCCACGATCACAACACCTCGTCCGCATACTAGAAACCCAATGACCCCCCGTTTCCAACGATCATGAATATCCAGCTTCTACATACTCCAAATTCATCTACTTCAACTCCTTGGAATAGACCCTCTCCTCCTCTCCAATATCCTCATTCCTACACACTCTCCAGTCAGCTCGCTCTCCATCCTTCCCACCTCCCCTCCCAAGCTCGACCACTTCCCACTAGAACGACTCACCAAATCTCCGGCTTCTCCCTGATAAACGCCTCCATCAACCCCCTACACTCCTCATCCCCCAAAACCACGACCTCCACCCCCCTCTTCCTCAACTGCGCCTCGCCGCCCAGGAACGTCTGGTTCTCGCCAATCACGACGCGCGCGATGCCGTACAACAGACAGGCGCCGGTGCACATATCGCAGGGCGACAGCGTCGTGAACATGGTGGCGCCCCTGTAGGCTGAGGCCTGGAGACGACCGGAGTTCTCGAGTGCGGAGGTCTCGCCGTGGTGGATCGCGCTGCCCTTCTGGACGCGTTGGTTGTGGCCGCGGCCGAGCAGGGTGCCGGCGCGGGAGACGAGGGCTGCTCCGATCTGGGGGTGGGGGAGAGAGAGGAGTTTAGCATGTATGTCTTCAGTAGCAAAGTTGGTTCAGTCGAGAGACGTCTTCTGGCATTGATGTGGTTGAGAACGTGCTGTGCCGCATCTTTGGGCTGAAGTTCACACACACATATATATATATATAGATGTGTGTGTGTGTGTTTGTGTGTGGTAGGCTTTCTCTCGGTGGACTGACGATACCTGCGCAATGTTCCCGAGAGAAGTTGGGGATATTGAGGATTCAAAGAGACAAAATCTTGAGCAGGTAATGCTCGGGCTTGAACCAAATGTTGACCATCGCACCACACTATCATCATCTCACTGCCCCATTCCAAATTTTCTTGGTGAAGCTCGCGACGGGTACTGCTGATTCATCGAGGTAGAAAGACACGGGAGGACGAGCGGAATATCTCACCGGTACTCCACCTTCTCTATAGCTGATCTTGGCCTCGTCCACGGCGATGGCGAAAGCTTCTCGGTCGTTCATGTTAAGGAAAATGGATGTGAATCGGTAAGCGAAAGGAGAAGGTTGAACGAAGTGGTGTACTTTGGATCGATAACTCTTGTGGTTTATGATATTTATCTTATTACTATATGTTTGATATCTTCGGCCTGACACTTGAGTATTCGTAGATGGATTCGCTGAAGCCGAAGAGTTGTAAGTATATAAGTAAACAAGCAAACAAGTAAACAAGTAAACAAGTAAACCGAGTATTTCTTTTCATGCATTTGACGTCTTTCTGTACCCCACTTTACCCCTCCACTCCATGAGTCCATTCGATTCGACGTCGCTGTTGACCCGGACTTGTTTGTGGCTTTCGAGTAAGAATTCAGATGAAGCATTCCTAGCTGGAAATCATAGGTATGAAGCATCCTCTCCATGGCCATCTTGGAGTTGGGATTGAAATCATCAATGTACAAGTAGTACCGGTACCCAGTGGAGGAGGATTGCTTTTTCATTTTCCTGTTTGATCAGACTTCCTTGCCAGGTTCTTGGTTCCCATTGGCTGTACGACCAACTGCGGATCCACCATCGCAGCGCTATGCTATTCTGGGATGGAGAAAATGCGACTTCTATCGAGAAGAGCTCATAAATCCGTGGAAAATATAATTAAAACAAATGTATTAAGCTCTCAAACATAGCCGTAACGTGCGGCTATGTTCCAGTAGATTTTTCGCGAGGTGTTGTTTGCTATCCAATCCCTTTATTTGCCATTTTCTTCGGCGAAAACCATGGATACCGAAAGAATCACGGCCTCGAATTTATTCCGCTCCTAAACAGCAAGCAGAAGTCGCCATTGCAACCAAACTTTTCTCTCTTCACAAAACAACTTCAAAGTCTCTCAAGCAAATACGCCAAAGATCGAGATTCTCCCAGCTTCCAACTGGAAAGACTTCTACGATTAATTACGACAGCACGGCGAAAAAGCATCGTTCGTGCGCGCAAGTCCTCCTCAGCCTCAGCAACAAACCTGTCAGTCTACCCGTCTGCTTCCACCCTCTGCCGCCTGACCCATTGTGCTGTATCTCTCCATATGCTGCGCAGGAGTGAAATGGGACACTAGAGATCTGCGATTGCGATTGCTATCTCCATTTAGCCCATTAGAACTGGACTAACGGAACATTCTAGACAGACCTTACCGCGCCCCTCACATAAGAAACTCGAAAATACCTCCTCACAACGAACCCGTCTGCTGGTTCAAGTAATACCTCAAATCCTCTCCCTCGCACACAAGCTGCAAAAATGGTCAAGGACACGAAATTCTACGATATCCTTGGGGTAAGCTTATCCTGGCTCTTCTGGGTGAGGCGGACACTCAATTACGACATAGGTTTCCCCATCGTGCACCGAGGCGGAACTCAAGAAGGCGTACAAAGTCGGGGCACTGAAGCATCATCCTGGTAAGAGCCTCGAGCTATCCCCAAGCCCCGGAGCAGAGATTGACACAACTCACAGATAAGAATGCACACAATCCCGCTGCGGAAGAGAAGTTCAAAGATCTCTCCCACGCTTATGAAGTCCTCTCCGATCCCCAAAAGCGCTCTATCTACGACCAGTATGGCGAGGAGGGTCTGGAAGGCGGTGCAGGTGCGGGTGGCATGAACGCCGAGGATCTCTTCTCGCAGTTCTTCGGCGGTGGAGGTGCATTTGGAGGCGGTGGTGGACTTGGAGGCATGTTTGGCGGTGGTATGCAACAACGTGGACCTCCCAAAGCCCGGACGATTCATCACGTACACAAGGTCTCGCTGGAGGATATCTACCGCGGCAAAATTTCCAAGCTCGCGCTCCAAAAGTCCATCATTTGCGCTAAGTGTGAAGGCCGTGGTGGAAAGGAGGGTGGGGCCAAAAAGTGCTCTGGATGCGATGGTCACGGCATGAAGACGATGATGCGCCAGATGGGGCCCATGATCCAGCGTTTCCAGACGGTCTGCCCAGACTGCAATGGAGAGGGAGAGATCATCCGCGAAAAGGACAAGTGCAAGGCTTGTGAGGGAAAGAAGACTGTCATCGAGCGAAAGGTGCTCCACGTCCATGTGGATAGAGGTGTTCGGACTGGACACAAGATTGAATTCCGCGGCGAGGGTGACCAAACTCCTGGCGTTCAGCCTGGAGATGTCATTTTCGAGATCGAGCAAAAGCCCCACGCCAGATTCCAACGCAAAGAAGACGATCTTGTCTACCAAGCCGAGATTGACCTTGTTACGGCGCTTGCTGGAGGGACTATCTTCATAGAGCACTTGGACGACCGGTGGTTGAGCGTTGAGATTCTGCCAGGAGAGGTCATCTCACCAGGTAAATTTCCATGCTTCCTATACTGCTAATACTTAGGCTAACAAGAGCAGGTGCCGTCAAGTTGATCAGAGGTCAAGGCATGCCTTCCTACCGCCACCACGATTTCGGCAACATGTACGTACAATTCGACGTCAAGTTCCCCGAGAAGAACTTCACCGAAGACCCCGCCGCCTTCGAGGCCCTTAAAGCCATCATCCCGCCCTCAAAGACTATCACTACCCCTCCCGCAGAGACTATGACCGAAGCCGTCGATATCGAGGACGTCGACCCCTCCCAGCAAGCAAGAGCCCAAGGCGCCGCAATGGAGGAGGATGACGAGGATGGCCACCCAGGCGGCGAACGTGTTCAATGTGCATCGCAATAAACTAGACACATCGAATTTGCGTGCAGCTGAACATGATAGGAGGCGATAGAGTTGAAGGACTTTTATTTTGCATCTTTGCATGGATCAAGTTGTTATCGTATGCGCAGCGAGCATCGTACTATTGGGAAAGATCCGCCTACTCACGTGCCTATCTATGCACGGCAAATGCTACCTACACTCATCACGAGGGACGAAACGGGAAAACGACGAAACCTATATGCATTTGGCGGTTCATGTGCGGATGAATGGATGCTTTTTTCTTCTCTTTTTTTTAACCGGATCATGAGAACGTGAGATGGGCTACTATTCTCGGACCAAAATTGGGGCCTTGTTCTTCTCCTTTGTTCTCATGTGCTAGGTCTGGTGGCTGGCTGGTGCGCTGAGGTAATTGGGAAGATAGGTATTGTGTCTGCTTTGATGGCGTTTAGACGGATAGATAGCACCCCTGGAAAATTAAACCTTTCAAAAATAGCATCTTGTCCATTTCAACCTTAAATGGATGCGGCGGGTGGGATGGGGACCAGAGAAGAATAGAGAGACCGCGAACCAACTACCTAACGTCGCTCGACCCGAGTTCGAAATGCAAGCTTCATTTACTCCGAAGGAACAAAGTTGAAAAGTTTAATTTGAGCCCGGCCCACAACTCAAGGCTTCGCAAATTACAACCTTTTATTGGATCTTTTTTTAAAAATCCAACAAAAGAAATTACAATACTCTAGTTATACACCGGGCCTCATTAAATCATTAAATGAATCCTCTTTCGGCTCATAATCCTAATATCCTAATGTGGACTTTTCTTTTATTTTGTCTATTTCTGACCACTCGGAGGGAAAATTGTGGTATTATCTGTATATTAGGTGTTACCTAATTAGGCACAACAACGTCCTCGGTAAGGTAGGGGATGGTAGGCACCAACCATTACCTAGGATAGGCAATTGTGATTACACCCTATTATTGGTAGGTGCCTATTTGGGCCGAGGAAGAAGTACTACTCCCAATGTTTCTATAATCGATCCATAGGTAGATTATCCAGCTGCTCTCTGCAATGGTTCTGGAGTACTTATAGTCTGCCTTGATACTCCAATTCTGAACACTTCAGTAGCCAGTCAGTCTCAGTCGCTCATTCTTCAAGATCTCGGTCTTCTCCACACTCGTTTTTCCAAAGACTTTCTCTCTACCTTTACCTTTACCTTTAGCTTCACCTTCACCTCTACCTTCACCTTTACCTTTACCTCAAAGCTAACAATCAATCAACCCATCGTCCTACATACATCGGAAACCATGAAGTTCAATCTCTCAAGCCTCTTCGTCTTCGCAACGGCGATGCTCGCCGTCAACACGTTACCGACCATCCCGACTCAACACGGCGTAAGCCCGGCCCTCGCTATCACGGAGCCACGGGCAGAGCACTTGGTAGCGCGGGCCATCCCAGGCTTCTCGAGCTCGAAAGGCATCGGCAGTAGCGTCAAGGGATTCTTCACAACCAAGAACTTGAAAAAATATGTTCCCAACAAAAAGAACTTGAAGAAGGCGATGAAGGAGTTAGAGGTGCAGAAGAATAAGGCGATAAAGCAGGTGAAGGCGATGAATGATAAGGCGCGGAATGCGATGAAGGCGAGGAAGGCGAGGAAGGAGAAGGCGGAGAAGGCGAAGAAGGCGGAGAAGGCGAAGAAGAAGGAGAAGATGGAGAAGGCTAAGAAGGCGAAGAAGGACGCGAAGAACGTAAGTCTACCTAACGTCCTCAAATTTTCGCGCAGATTCCCTTGTGCTGTGCCCTCGACTTTTCAAAAAGGGATTTTCCCTCGGTCAAGAAACGTAATGCGAATATCAAGCTTACTCGTTACTATAGAAGAGTTCGAACGGCGGTTTCATGAAAGGCAGTGTCCAGAAGATCAAAGTAAGTTTTTTTTTTACCCTTTGACACTTTTTGTGTTTTGCGAAAAAACCAGGAATGGCTCCAATTGCCTATTCGCAACAAATAAGTAAAGCAATGAGACTACATGAGCTGATAAAATATTTCTACGAACCTCAGGATATGGGCAAAAAATTTGTGCCAAACTAGGCTGTTAAATGCAGTTGACAATCATATTCGGAGACGGACAAACATGAATGTACTCTTTGTATAATAGAGCCTGGAGGCCTAGCGCTCTCTTTATGTAGTATTAGGGAGTTCAAATCTCAATCATTAGTACTTTTTTGGAATGCAAGGTTCAGGTTGCTTCAATGTTCGGAGCTTGTTCAAGTTTTGAACATCAACTGCTAGTCAGGCGGTGGAGCTCCTCAAAGTAGAATTTCAAGTCATCCGGCTTGACTCCTGGTGTGATTCCTAAAAAGGGGGAGGGGGGGGGGGGAAATGTTAGCCGAGCTCAGAACAGTCAGTACCTTCCAGGAACTTACCGTGACCAAGATTCGCAATCCATCCCTGCTTTCCTCCGCCAAACCCCTTCACGATCTTCTCAACCGTAGAGGTAATATTCTCCCGCGTTCCGTACAAGATTCCCGGGTCCGCGTTACCTTGGAACACAATGGGTCGGTTCCCTCTGATCTTGACAGCCTCCGCGGGGTCTTGCAGCCAGTCTAGTCCGACTACTTGATATCCCAGATCACACAGTGAGTCGAGCGCGTACCAGGCTCCTTTGGCGAAGACGACCATTGGGACGAGGTCTAACTTCAGCTCCTTCAGTCTCTTGGGGAGATTCGCGGAGATGTAGGCGAGGTATGGTTGAGAGAACTCTTTGAACGCATCTGGGGAGAGTTCTGCTGCCCAGGAATCGAAAACTTGGATGAGCTGTACCATATGTCAACAAGCACCCCTGCCATGTAAGAATTGAAGGCGTACCTGAGCTCCAGCTTGAACCTGCAATGCCAGATACTCCACACAGATCTCCGCAATCTTCTGCAAGAGATCCTTCGTAGCCTGGGGGTACTTGAAGATCCAAGTTTTCGTCTGGATAAACAGCTTGCTACCACCACCCTCCACCATATAACACAACAGCGTCCATGGCGCACCGCAGAACCCGAAAAGCGGAACTCGCCCCTTCAGTTTATGCCTCGTCATAGTGATAGCCTTGTAGACATAGTCCAGCTCAGCAGCTACATCGACTTTCTTGTTGAGCACCCTGCTGTACTGCCCATCGTCAGGGGACTTCAACGGCTCCGGGAAATGCGGGCCCTTCTTGTCGACCATCTCAACGGTCATGCCCAGGGCTTGAGGAACTACGAGGATATCGGAGAAGATGATCGCCGCGTCAACGAGGCCGGCGAACCGGTCGATGGGCTGGAGGGTCAAAGTGGAGGCGATTTCTGGCGAGCGGCAGCATTCGAAAAAGTCGTTGGTTCCTTTGGCTTCGTGGTATTCGGGGAGATAACGACCGGCTGTCTACATGTATTAGAGGAATATTATATATGCAAATCGCCGTGGAAGGGGGAAGTAGACCTTGTCGCATAACCCACATTGGGGGTCTCTCGACTTTCTGGCCTGCTTTAAGTTAGCGTGAGTTCATTGATTGAGTCGATAGACTTTTTCCTACCCCATGCTGTTCTCAGAATGAGATCGTTCTGCAATGGTTCGAATTCATGAGCCATATTTTCGAAATGTAGTCAATTTTGTAAAAAATGGGCACCTTTCAACAACAAAGCGAGCACCCCGCCGGGGCTGCCCGCATGTTGTTCCTAAGCTTGATCCAACCACGCACGGGCCACAAAACAGACAGGTTTAGCGACTTCAATCTCGAAATTCGATTGAGCTCAACCTGCGTCTGCCCTTGGAGCAATTGGGCCCTGCAGCTGTCCTGCTTTACCGGAAGACATCAATTGATAAGCTCCCTCCTCTCTCTCTCTCCCCGAGCCATACAACAAAGGCCTTTCGAATGCGGCGCGAGTCTCCATAGCCCATGCTCCCCCAAGCTCCTACCTGCCGCCGAGCACTGCAGCGACAGGTGACAATATCCTCAGATTCACAATGGGTGTCCGACGAAGCTCTGAGCCACGCGTACCAGCGCTTCTTCGCTGTCTCGAAAACCAGGAAACGCTATGGAAGCTTCATACCGGGACCGCTGGAGAGTCGACGGAGGATAGGCAAGAGGAGGATGACCCTGCAGTCTGAAGCTCCTCAAACACCAGCAACTGGACTTGGAACCCTATGGGCGGTGCTCTTTGGTGGAGCGGACAGGATGGATTGGCAATGGCAAGCGCCAACTCCTCAGGATATGAAAGCGGAAGAAGCTGTGTCGTCATTGGCAAAGTGCTTTAGGGGTTGGAGGAGCACTGCAAAGGTGGCTATGGCGAATCCGACAGTACCGTCGGAGTCTACAGCAGCAGCGGTTAGAATGAGGGCTTGGAATTTCAAGGACGATTTTCTAACGTTTCGACGGGCGCTGAAAGAATGCACCGCCCAGAATCGATCAACAATTTGCTACGACTTTAACCAAAAACTGAAGCAAACTCTCTATCTTGGCCTCGACTCGAAAAAGACTGCCTCTAGTGTTCTATTGCTCATCCCTGGAGATATTCGAAAAGCCTTTTCTGAGTCTGAAGACCAAGCGAATCGACACTGCCTGGAACTTTGTCAAGCTATCTGGGAAGGCATATCAGTTTGCAGAGTGATGCAGCCGACTGACTTTGATGCTTGGATCATTTCTAAAATGATGATAACTCTCTCTGAGTTGAATATGTGCCAAGGGGTGCAGACTTTAGCAGATCAGATTTGGTCTGCAGTCTCTGTCCACCAACTTGAGAGAATGAAGCCAGGCATAGCTCGCCTAATCGATTCCTGGGCAGAAAGTTGGTCACGTCTAGCGGTTCCCGACTCGTGCAAGCATTTATTGGCTTTGGCTGAGGAGGCTGTACTGATTGTTGAACGCCTTGCTCTCGATATGCAGACTTTTCTTCTAACGACCGGAAATACTTCGTTTTCTGAAGCAGATCTTGAAGCAGCTCGTAAAGTTCTGGAGCAGGCGAAGTCAGCGATCGATCGAGCTGCAGATGCAATTATCAGAGCAGATGACTTTCTTATACCTCAGCGGCAGAGCACATGGGCTTTGGCCAATGCTCTCAATAACTTACCTCATTGGATTCGCAAGGCCGTGATAATAAGCTGCTCTGCCCGCATCGCAAACGCAAATACAGCTTCTCATGCACCATTCAGTACAATACGGAATTGCTGGCTATCTGTTGTTGCCAAAGTCGATCATGTAGACGTGACGCCAATGTTGGCGACTAGCTGGAAAGCCTTTGAAGAAACCAACGCTGTCGCGGAAGATGTTGCTAGCGAAGTTATCTTTGATCTCTGGGTCAATCAGGGCCTTATCGAACGGCCATCATTGACTCGGGTTTTCTTTGAAATTGCCGCAGCAGAGAAAAATCGCCGGGACTATAGCATCTTGTTATTCGCTCTTGATGCAGCGAGACAGAATTTCTGGAGTCGGGCTATGTCCCTTTTTAAATTCATTGATAAACTTAGTCAAGAAAAGTTTGTTAGAGACACTCAACACACAGTTATCTCTGATACCATCCGACGCATGAGGGAGTTGCAGATGCTTTTACCACATTGGGTTTTCGATACAACCCTCGAAATGATGGCAACCTCGATGGCAACACAGCAGAATTTCAGCAATATCCGCGAGACCCTCCGTTCCTTCGAAAAGATGCGCATCAATGAGTTGCCTTTACGACTTCATAGATGCCCCAACTTCATATTCTTCCTGATTGAGGAACGAAGCGAGAAATTCAGTACGAGTTATTTCTGGGAACAAATCGGTATACCTCTCTACGAAGCAATGCCCGCTTCATCACGAGCAAAGCATGCCTTCGTTGACCAACGGACAACACCTCCTCTTACCCCCGCCACGATCGGAATCATTACGAAAATGGCGATGCTGTTTGCATTCAGCAAGCAGCTCTCATCAAGAACGGCATTTCGCAACGTCATGCAATGCGTCGTTCATCTACGGAGACACCACGTCCCAATCACCCCCGAGCTAACAAGGGCGATTGTGCACGCTGGGGTCACACGTAGCATACTGAATAGAAGGTGGATTCCAAAGGCGAGAGTGAGATGGATGCTGAGTTTAATTGAAATGGGTGAAGGTACGGAGGTTGCTATGAATATTGATGATATGATAACTGTGTGGAATCAACATTTGTCAGAGAAATTCTCGATGCAACATACAATTCTTGCAAGGGAGAGGAATGTATTGCGTAAATATTTAATTTAAAAGGACGGGTATACACCAATGAAGGATCAGCCGTGAATATGCAATTCAGTTCATATCATGGGCGGAAAGACAAAGCTCGGGTGTCTTAATAGGCCTCATTCGCTTTTGCACTCCTCGTTGTCCCCCTCCCTCTTCCTCAAATTTTCAAGATTATACAACAGACCCCCTAAGCGGTCAGGAGGACCACTTTCTCCTTCCACATCATCAGCTGGCGAGAACGCTACTCCTCCTTCAACCAACATCCCCTCTTGGAACTTGTATGACTGGAGGGAGCTTTGGAGATCCGTCTTACTCTCTCTGTGCTCGCTTGTCGACCCAGCCTTATGTATGGTGTCGATAGACACAACCAGGCCAGCGGTAGCATCAGATTGTTCACCTGATGTGATGATAAGCCCCAAAGCATTGCCTAATAGCTGTAAAGTCTGGAGATGCTCTAAGGTGTTCTGGCCAGTAAGAAGGAATGTGAAAAGCGCCGGAACGCTAGATTGGTATCAGGTTTAGTTCTCCAAAGGTGAAGGATTGGAATGCTTACCCTTCACACGTAACAACGATAGCATCTTTCACCTCGCCCCCAATTGTCAATTCCACAGAAGAAATCCCCGAGACGACACTCTTCGCCGGGACCTCACTCCCCTCAAACATTGATAAGCCGCTCCGCACACCATCAACGTGCGTCTTTAAATCCACCTTTGCAAGCAGGCGTCCAGATAGCCACTCCCAGACATACAACTCATCATCTCCACCCCCTGAAATCAACAGATCACTCCTCCCCGCCAGAAAGCAAAGCCGGGTAATAAAATCAGTGTGTCCAAGACAGAAACACTCAATGATATGCGCCTGCGGAATTCCCCTCGAGACACGGATATGCTCATCCCGGTCCGCAGTCACGATGTAAGTGCGGCCCTCGACGGCAACGAGGGCGACGTCGGTTAGCATGGAGACGTGGCCGAGGAGGAGCTTGTGCTCGAATGTTGGCTCGGTCTTCTCGACGCGTTGAGCTGCCTGGCGTTTCTGGTTCTCGAGCGCCCTGCGGTTGCGCTGAGAGTGGATGGTGAGTTCGTTGGCGGCGGGGACAAAGGGCTTCGCTGCTCGAGTTGGTTCGGGCGTTGAGTTTTGAGTGTCTTGGATGGGAGAGGGGATTAGGGGGAGGGAGTAGACGTCGCCAAATTTGTCCGCGCTGACTATGGTGGTGGAGTCGAGGGAGAGCGTAACGGAGCAGGGGCGCTTGGGCATGATACTTCTCACTTGTTAGACGCATCTTGGATTTTAAAAAGGTTCTGCACGGTATACCGTTGACTTATCTGGTTGAGCTTTTGCACTCCACCCTCGTCGGTGCTTTCAAACACCCTGATGCTCTTGTCTTCTCCCGTCACGGCAATCACGTGTCGTCCATCTTTCGTAGCAGCCAGTGCAATAACAGCTGGAGCTTCCAGACCACTTGACACAGCAGCTGATCTGCTGTTCGGCTTCGCCTTCTTCTCATTCTTTCCACTTTTCTGCTCGGACTTCTTGTCTGGATCCTCGTTCGGTTCCGGCTCATCAGATAGCTTCCTCTTCTTTGCAGGAGGGCCAGATTCCTCATTAATTTCTTCTTTTAACGGCATTGGCTCTGAAGTCTCTGTTGTAATCGGCAGCTCTTTGGAGTTTCCATTCTCATTTTTGGTCTCTTGAGAAGCTGGGCATTTCCACACTGATAGTAGCGAGCCGGTTTGGAGGTTGAAGATGTCTATGCTGGACCCTCTGGCTGCAACCAACTTATTTCCGGACTTGGCCATGCATTGATAAGGCATGCTTGCACTAGTAAACGGTGACATTCTGATTCTCAAGCCAAGTTTCCGAGAAGCGGCCCAGATGCTCACTGGGCGAAGATTTGAAGATCTAGCAAGCCATGTGAATGGAGATCCTCTCATTTGACGGGTATCGTACCTCAAGCGATGGGATTTTAGATAAGCAAGCCCGAAGAGTCTCAATGATGAGATCTATCAAAGATTTAAGCCTCAAATTATACATCATGCCTGTTGGGAGTGAAGTTGAAGAAAAGCTCATGATGATTTTAGTGGGTCTTACCAACTAGGGCTTAGCGCCACACTAGTACACGCACACAGCGCACATAATCAAAAATTATCGCGATGCCCAAACTTTCCTCTCCATCCATCATCTCTACAGTCTCAACCGCGCGAGACCATTTCACCAACACCCAAAAATCTGACCCTTAAAACATCCCTGCCTTCACAAAAGAAGATATGGGGGGCAGATCCGACAACAAGGCTGGCTACTTCGAGAAGCTCAAGACCCTTCTCGAGGGATACAAGAGCATCTTCATCGTCGGCGTCGACAATGTCAGCTCTCAACAAATGCACGAGATCAGACAATCCCTTCGTGGTGAGGGTGTCGTCTTGATGGGAAAGAACACCATGGTACAATCTGCCCGAATCGAATCCATGGGATGCAAGCTGATGTAGAGGTGTATAGGTCCGTCGTGCCCTCAAGGGCTTCCAAGTCGACACGCCCGAGTACGAGCGTCTCCTGCCATTCGTCAAGGGCAACGTCGGATTCGTCTTCACAAACGGTGACCTGAAGACTATCCGTGACAAGATCCTCGCCAACAAGGTTGCCGCTCCCGCCAGAGCTGGTGCCGTTGCTCCCGATGATGTCTACGTCCCCGCTGGTAACACTGGTATGGAACCCGGAAAGACCTCTTTCTTCCAGGCTCTCGGTGTCCCAACCAAGATTGCCCGTGGTACCATTGAAATCACCACCGACTTGAAGCTCGTCGAGGCCGGAAGTAAGGTCGGAGCCTCCGAGGCCACCCTACTTAACATGTTGAACATCTCTCCCTTCACATATGGAATGGGGATCTTCCAGGTTTACGACCAAGGCAACACCTTCCCACCCAGTGTTCTCGACATCGAGGAGTCGCAACTGCTGAAGACGTTCTCCAGCGCCATCGCTACCATCGCCGCTATCTCATTGGCTGCCAACTTCCCAACTCTTCCATCTGTTATGCATTCTGTTGTTAACAGCTACAAGAAGGTTCTGGCCGTTGCCATCAGCACTGATTTCAGCTGGCCCGAGATTGAGGAGCTCAAGGATCGCATTGCCAACCCAGAGGCTTACGGTATGTCACCATCCACCCATCTGCTATGCACACCGAAGCCGAGGATCCTCGCCCAATGATTACTTACTATACTGACCGAAAAATTAGCTTCTGCCGCTCCCGCTGCTACCACCGAAGCCGCTCCAGCTGCTGCTGCCGCGGCTGCTCCCGAGGAGGAAGAGGAGGCCGAGGACTCCGCCGACGAGGGTTTCGGAGGCATGTTCGACTAAACGGGCCAACAAAATCTCGCATAGACTGATGGGTTTCATGAGGGAGGGCTTTACGACACGAATTCATGAAATCACAACATAGATGCAGATACACTAATGCAGCTCACCAATGCATATTCGGGGAAAAACCACTGGGACATGAGCAGAATGGTGACTGAGTTTGGAAGTGATATGCTAATCTGGATTGGATGGCTATTTCTCGCAATCTTGAAGGTCAGTTTATCTCGCTTGTGTCCCTCCACCCGCTTCGCACATTGGAATGATGACAAACTTTACCCTTAATGGAATTCACACCTTGAAGGCATTTTTCTAATTTTTTACTTACCAAATCTTACCATTTCCACCTCTTGGTACTTCGCACATATCGAGATATCTTGCTAATTTTGACACTCAGGTTTCCAACATTGCAGCCTATCTCCAATCCTTGTATGAACACCAACTCCAGTTCCACCAAAGGTTCGTCCATACAGCTTCATTTTAACTGCCCACTTCCATTACGCATAATGATGAGCACTCAAAAGCTTTTTAACCCTGAACGGAGCCACCTCCTTGCAGATAAAAACACAACAACAACAAACTACCTGAAGTTTGCCCCTGTCCCATACTTCTCAGTACATTTACACACAAATGAGAAGTCATGCTGACTTTGATACATGAATTCTCAGCCTAGACTCATTCCCCTTTCGACCATGATGAAACTTGCTAGTCTCAAATTCGAGACCCTTCCCAGATATTTATCCTGTCTTGCTTGTGACTTCTATTTTACCGTTCGGCATGCCCTCACAGCTCATCCACTTTTCATCTCACCTCGCGTTGCTTCTCTCTTCTCACCAGTTCTCCTTCCGATTTCATGCTCTCCTTACGACCTATTTTCCAAAATCATGCCTCCTCCGAGCAACGACTCGTCTTAAGCAAACTAGTGCGAGTCCGATATTGATCCAGGTGACGGAGACCGTTCCCGTCACGAATCTTACTGGTATCTTACTGGTCCTCTTAGTATTGCAGAGCTCTGTCAGAGTCCACAGGAGTATCGGTGTTGGTTTAATTTCTGCCTCGTTCATTATTTGCCGTTTTCCTTGTTACCTATAATTTGTTGGTGATTTACCGGGTACCTCATCGTTACAAAACGGGATAAGTTGTGACCACAGGACGAATCACACTGACTGGTGCAAAATTGGACTTCAGTCTGAAGTTGAAATTTCATTGTATCTTCGTACATTACCTGCCTTGCGCTCTTCATGTATCATGCAAGCCTGACACTCTTCTCGCACCACTCGGATTCCCCCTCCTCTCTCTTCTCCTCCCCAGTAGTCCTCTCCCCATCTCCAAAGTTCTTCTTCAACACTCTATCGTAGCTCTGCCACATACCCGTCATGACCAAGCCCAGTATAATAGCCAACCAGCTCGGTACTTCCCCTTGATCATTCGCGAACACTTTGCCAAGCCCGAGCAAAAATAGCAGTATCGGCATCCACACAGCAGCAATCAATGCATGGCCCGCTCTTTGTCTTGCAGAAGTGATGGTGTAAGGACGGAGGCTATATAGATAGGCCATGTACTCCTCCGGCAGCTCATGCTCTTCCGCGCCAGATGTTATGAGGCGTAAATAGCGGGCGGAAGCTTGAGCGTAGGAGGGGTCTGGACGGACTACGCCATCATTTGTCCTGATATCTCCTTTTTCTTCATCTGATGGTACAGGTCTCATAAGAGTGTGCGCGGAAAATGGAGCTCCCGCCGGTACATGGTGTACGGATTTAGACCCAGGTGGGATGGCGTAGCAAGGGACAATCACATCCTGGTAGGTGGCCCCTCCACCCTCTGTAGCCACGATGGTTCTATAGTCTTCGGGGGTGACCTCGTAGACGACGCCAATCAGACCTTTATGCCACCGGTCTTTGTGGTAGTCGCTCGTGGAGATGGGAGGAGGTGAAGCGTAGCGGGTGTTGGCGAAGCAGGGTTCGGTGTAGGGTATTCCTGGGAGGTCGAATGTGAGGGTCAGGGAGGGGACGTGGACATTGCAGGCGGAGATGGGCTTGACGCCTCGGTTGCCGCTGAACGTTTCTGCGGAGAGATTGCTGCCGTAGGCGAGGTATAGAATGGTCTTCTCAGCATTTGTCGAGTTGAGGCGTTCGGCGGAGGTAGCTGGGAGCGGAGCTAGTTCCACGGAAGGATTTCTGGAGCCCCATAGGTTCTGCAGAGATGTGAAAGCTTGTTGGCCGCAATAGGCAGTGAATGGTTGCTTGGTTGCCATTCTTTTTTGATATATTCCTTATTATTTATATGTGAAGAGTAGGAAGTGGGATCACAGAGGGGGAGAAAGAAAGAGAATCTGAGCAATTCAATTATTGGGAAAAAGAGTACTCCGTACTCTGTAAAGAACATAAGGAAAAGTTGCAGACAAACGTAGCTTTGATAAGTGTAAAGACGTCTAGACATGGCGATCTTGATGGCCTACCAATAGGAAGAAAGAGTCAAAAATTCCGCCGACGCGGACGTACGGAGCAAGGTAAATGCCGAGCCGCTACTGCGACACGAGATGGAGATAAGGAGAGAAAGAGTTGAAGATATGCACACATTGCTGCTTGTTTCGACGGCGAATAATATGCGAGAAGCTGGAGGTACTACAGTATTGCACCGTGGGATTTAGCCCAAGTCTCGTCGTCGAGGCTATGACATACGGAGTAGGCTTTTGAGGGGGCAGGTGTAGTCTCTGATTGGCCACCTTAGCGATCCGGCTGGGACAGGCAGTCCAATTCCTTAGCTCCTCTATGAAAGCTCACCCTCCCGATTCTCACTTAGGCTGCACACATTCAAGTCTAGATACGGTACAATCGAACACCACCAAAATGTCTCTCGTATCTGGTCCTGGCCGTGCCTCCACTACCACTTCCTCCCTCCCCACCGAACTCCAACTTTCCATCGCCGCGCACGTCAAATACATCCAGTCTCTCGACACCCGCAAAGACGAGCTCGAGTACCACCTTACCGAACACCTCCGCCTAAACGGACTCTACTGGGGCCTAACAGCCCTCCACCTCATGAACCGCGCAGATGCCTTACCTCGAAAAGAAACAATCGACTTCGTGCTAAGCTGTCAAGCGGAAGATGGGGGGTTTGGCGCAGCGCCGGGCCACGACGCGCATATTCTGTATACGTGCAGTGCGGTGCAGGTTTTGGCTATGGTCGATGGGTGGCAGGAGTTGGAAGAGAGGGGAGTGAAAGTTAGGGGCGTGGGAGGGAAGAAGGCTGTAGGGGCATGGATTGCGGGCTTGCAGAATAGGAAAACGGGGACTTTTGCTGGCGATGAATGGGGCGAGGAGGATACGCGATTTATTTGCTCCTCGCTGATCGGACTTTCGCTGCTGAAGCTTTTGCAGCTGGCTGATGTCCCGCTGGCTGTTGCGTATATCACCTCCTGTGCAAACTTCGATGGCGGGTATGGGGTTAGTCCGGGGGCAGAGAGTCATTCTGGGCAGATCTATGCTTGTTTGGCGGCGCTGAGTATTGCGGGCAGAATCGACGTCGTTGATCGGGAAAAACTTGGTAGGTGGTTGAGTGAGAGGCAGGTTGAGCAGGGGGGGCTGAATGGGCGGGCAGAGAAGCTGGAGGATGTGTGTTATAGTTGGTGGGTGGGAAGTAGTCTGGCTATGATTGGGAAGCTGAGCTGGGTGGACGGGGAGGCGTTGAAAGGTTTTATCTTAAGGTGCCAGGACCCTGACATGGGTGGCATTGCGGATAGACCTGGAGACGTCGTTGATGTCTTCCATACGGTGTTTGGTATTGCTGGGTTGAGCTTGCTCGGGTACCAGGGCTTGGAGGAGGTTGATCCTGTTTAGTACGTTCTCCACCCCCTGATTGCTTATTCGACTGACGTGATCTAGCTGTATGCCGAAAAAGGTCATTGCACGGGAGCTTGGTCATGGAAGTGACGGCGAGCCGTAAATGATGAGTATATCTAAAAATACAGTCTCATGATACCCCTTTTCCGTCTGCAGGTACAAAAATTATAACTTGATTAGAGATATGCTAAGCCAGACTCGAGCATCTACCTACGGTATTATGTCTCTGCGACCTCGAAACGGAGTAGGACCATCCAGAACAAGAGACCTCCTGCCATCTAATACCCTCGTATCTATACATATATAGTGGTTCTAGGATACAAGGCAGGAGAAGAAGAACTTCATGGTTAATGAGAGCGCCTACATGCAGCACTCCATAATGTAGGCGCTCAAAAAGCCTTGACACATGCGTAAATACAGAAAGTATCACGCAAAGTAACGTAGTCCTTCTTTCGTAGTCGTCTTTCCTTCCCAACTCCAACCTCGTCATAATTTTTTGTTATCTTGTTATTTTTAAGCGATGCGTGAGATTCGTCTTCTCGAGCTCCTGTTCCATTGCTGATCGCATCAATGTTAGACTACCTCTGCAAACACTGTGGGCTCCGGTGATATTGATTGCCATGATAAAGCTCGCTCTAGTTGATATGGGATTCATTGACACCGGGCCTGCGCCCAAGTCTATGCCGTGACTATGAGTTTTGTAAGCTTCTGTTGCACGTAGCCGAGTTATGGTTATTTGGCTCTTTAGTATATATTACGTATGTTTTGATTGTCTGATGATGTATGAGATTTGTGCTTTCACAGTCGCGCTCCTCTCTCTGTTACCTCGTTTCGTGAAAAGACCAAGTCCCCATCTATCGAGCTATAGGCAATCCTCGGCCAGCGGCGATAAATTACACCGTTCAGCGATTTCGAATTGGGCACATGTTATCCTGTTGTTTTTTGTTGCATGTCGCAGACAGATTGTCGAATGTGCCCGAATCGGATTCGAAGTGGAGGTTTTGCAATTCTTGATTTCGATGTTAGGTTCTCGCTCCTAGTCTTATGGACGATGTATTTACTCACCGACAATAATTTCATTGAAGTCTTCTTGTTTCAATTGCTCTCCTCCTTCGTCACAGCTGTAGTTGTGGTGTGTACTCACTCTGCTAGAAGGGAGTTCGGCGTTGAGCAGTACTATATAGGTCTTCCTCTCGAAGCTACTTACCCCCATCATTGGGAGGCAACACAGCACAAAGCCCAATACCGCTAGAGGATGTAGCAGTATCGAGAGGTTGAAGTACGAGTCGGAGTGTGGTGATCGGTGTGATATTATATTATTGTATTGCTGCAGGTGTCGCTTATCACGGCTCACGTGAGGACTTCACATTCACTTCTTCCTCTGTCTGAACTCTCCTCCGAAAAGGAATCGGAATTTCCCTCATCCTCAATTCCGCTGTCACTTTCACCTTTCCGTCTCGAAGTTGAACTCGCTCTGCTCACTTCTCACTTCTCACTTCTCTCTCCTCACTCCTCTCTCCTCTCTCCTCATGTACCGAGTGTCATTCACTCACTCACCTTTCGCTTCCGTCTGTTCTTCACTTCTCCCATTGACCCCTCCATTCCCCATTTGGTCTCCGACCTCACTCTCCTTCTACTATTTAAGGTCAAGACCTTCTCCTCCTTCTCTTCCTCCTCCTCCTCCTCCTCCTCCTCCTCCTCCTCCCCCTTCTTTCTCTTCCTCGGCACCTTCCTGCCTTCCTCAAACCTGGACACTTCATCTTACAATTTATAACCTTCCTCAACACCACAGCTTCCCAACTCGTGGTTCCCCTCCTCAGCTCTGCATCCGTGGCTGACGAACCTCGAATTAATACAACTGGTAACGATTGCTCATTCCCCAACTACTGTCTTTTCCACACCTCGCCCAGCCGTGCAGCAGCACAGCTGTGAGCCCCTTCCTAAGGTCAGTCAAATTACTCGCATTATCTTGGACGATCTTTCATCCAATTGAGCATCGGCGAATTCAGTTTTACTGCAATTGAAAGATCGGCTCTTACATCAACCTCCCCCCTCCGATCTTCCAGCAGCTGTCCCTCGCACTAGACAATGGCTAATCGATCTCAATTCGCAGCACCGCCAACATGCCGAAAGCAAGAGTTGGCAGCAGCTTCGCTTTGGAGTGCAGAATCTGCCCCAATGACCCTGTCTTCTCCGACGTCTCTCACCTCCTCACCCACGTTTCCTCCAAGTCCCACCTCTCACACATCTTCAAGCTCACAATTCGATCTTCCAAGGAGCCTGATTGCAAGAAGAAACTCGAGGACTACGATGTATGGTACAACCAGAACAACCTTGGTAGCTTGCTTGCGGATCGACTCGAGGCCAAAGATCAGAAGAAGTCTAAGAAGAAGAGAGGATCCAATTCTTCTACTGCTACAACTGCTTCTAGTGCTGCTGTAAGTGTACAGTTCGAAATTAGCTTGCTATTGTAGCTAATAACTTCAAGGCCGCTCCAAAGCAAAAACTCAAGCCCCAGGAGAGAAAGACAACGAAGAGGGGCAAGAAGAAGGAGGAGGATGCTACACCAGAACTGGCCAATGAAGTTCTCGCACAAACTCCCGTCTTCAGAGCCCCCGTCCCCCGCATGCACGAATGGGAAGATGAAGGTGGTGCTATTTCGCCTGCGGCTGATGGAAACTTCGAGGTATCTGTCTATGCCACTCCCACGGCAAGACGTCAAGTTCCAAACTTCACTCGTCAGCGCAATGCATCCACTGGCAAGGTTGATCCCAAGTATGTTCAATCAGACTGCTAACCACTCCACTCTACTGATGTTTCTACCAGTCTTAATACCCCAACCCGGATCAATGGCATGGTAGATGACGAATATGAAGAATACACCGAGGAGGCGAGAAAGCCAGGAGAGAAGTTGACTGACAGTGCCACACTCAAGGGTGTCGTCTGGGATGGGATGGGAATCTTCGACTCTGCCACACCCGAGATGAAGCGTATGAGAAACCAGCGCAAGGATCGTGCCGTTCTTGATGAAATGAAGGCAACTTCTCTATCGATAGAGCCTGATGAGGTCAGCTTCCATCCTAATGGTGAGTTTAGAGCGTCCAGAGATATCTTTGGCCCTCCATCCGCGGAGTCAAGCCCTGTCGTAAGTCCTCGCCTGTCCAACCGCTACCTCTGCCTGCTTGATGTCAGTACTTACTTCCGGCAGGCTCGATCACCCCCGTCCCCCAGAAAGCGGAAGACACGCAAGGTTGCCAATACCCTCTCGGACATGAGCGTCAATGCTCCTCGTATCAGAGCTCCACGTGCAGCAAAGAACGCCAATCGCAGTCCCCAGAAGAGACCGATGCCAACGACACAGTCTCGTCCAAACGTCTTCCTTCAACCTGCACCTGTTCTCAATCCACTGGCCTATGATAGAAGATACATGCCCAGAGGAGAGCCGTTTGCACCCACTCTCGATGAAGAAGAGGAGTTCAGATCGACTGTTGCCGAGCTCAATGGTAGTAAGAAGCGGGGGTTCAATATCTTCAACGACGGTTTTCCTGAGATTAGCCCAGGTCGCACTGAAACCCCTCTCGAGGATCATCGGTATGAAATTGTCTGGCTCCCAGAAGGATGCCGCCCTGCTAATGAAGTCCCACATCAGATTCGATTTCCCTTCTTCTCATGGTTTGACTTCATATCACAGCAACTCGATGACCTCGGCTCATGGCCTTGCCTCCCCAACCCCAGTATCCAAGCCAACTTCACACCGAGCACAGGGAAAGGAGAATGGACAGCTTGAGATGTCCTCACACCACCACAATAGACGAGCCCTTTCTGATTCACAGCTCTACCCTACACATGTTTTCTATGACTCGGCATCCAACCCGCTGTTCAATCAAACCCACACCCGTTTTTCAGGCTTTGGTGCCAACAACTTCCACAGCTACGTTGGCAGCTACTCTGGCTATGGTGAACAAAGATCCCCAGGCGGTTTCGGCTCTCAGTTCCTCGGTGACTACAACAAACACCAAAACCCAATGAGCTACTTGGAGCAAAATCAAAACTCTGGTATGGGCAACAGCAACGTCAGCAGCGGCCACAATGGTGGCATAGACTTTGGCATGTGATTCCAGACTGATGACAGGGCGTTATTTCGTTCCAAGGGGCTTCATTTTCGTTCTCATAATAAATTCACGAAGACTTATAAGAGGCACAGGGAGTTTGGCGTTTAAATGGAAAGGGGTGGGTTAATATGGCCGGCATGGAATGGGTTGGGAGGCATGGATGGCGCTTTTGATGATTGCATTTCTTTGTTCATTAGTTTTCTTCTGCCGCTTATTTGCTCAGTCCTTTCATTTCGCATTTCGACTCTAGGACGCATGGTGGATGGGGTTTCGAGTGTTATGGATTGCTACTACTCTTATTCTGCTTATTTCGACTCTGTATCATACATACATCATAGCTCCTCCATAGACATTACAAGTTGCTCTAGGTCAACTTGAGCTTTAGAAGCAGACATTACATCAACTATCATTTTCGAAACGCTCCTCAACTTCTTTTGTTTCACTTCCATCTCCAATTCATGAGACTTTGTCGCAGCCATGTCCAACACGGCCTTTGGGACGTTTGCTAAGCGGGCCACATTCAACCCATAACTCCTATGCGCCACCCCTGCACCCACCTCATACAGAAAAGTAATTTCCTCCTCGCCGTCTCCTCCCCCCTCGCCAATTTCTACCCCACTCCCTTTCTTCGCAGCACTAAACTTCATGTGCACATTCCTCAACTCCCCATCGAAACTTCTCGCCACACTCGCCAAGCTCTGATAATGCGTAATAAACAAACACAGACACCTCGTCTCCCTGACCACATGATCCAGCACCGCACCGGCTATGGCCACGCCGTCGTGGGTACTCGTCCCGCGGCCGAGCTCGTCGAGGATCACCAGCGACTTGGGCGTGGCCGATTTCAGGATGCTGGAGGTCTCTGACAGCTCGACCTGGAAGGTGGACTGGTTGGTGAAGAGCGAGTCGTAGGCGCCCATGCGGGTGTAGATGCCGTCGAGCAGGGAGAGGGTGGCGGAGTCTGCGGGCACGAAGGAGCCGAGTTGGGCGAGAAGGCAGATGAGGGCGACCTGGCGGACGTAGGAGGATTTGCCGCCCATGTTGGGCCCTGTGATCAGGATGGCGCGGGGGTCTGTGGACGGGGAGGGGGCGTTGGAGAGAGTGGTCGAGTTGGGGATGTAGGTTGAGGGGAGCAGCTGCTCGACCATGGGGTGGCGGCCTCCTTGGATGGAAATCCGGGTGTCCGGTGAGGAGACGAATGTGGGTTTTGTGTAGCCCGGGAAGGCGGCGACGGTGGCGAGGGACAGGAGACAGTCGAGGGTGCTGAGGCCTGAGATGGCGTCTCGGAGGGGGCCGTAGTGCGCTGATATCGAGGAGAGGAGGGTGTGGAATGCGGTTTCGCAGGCGGCGGAGAGGGATTCTTTGTGTTGGTCCCTTTCTCGCAGCATGCGGATTACATCTGGGGTGTGGAAGCGCGACGCCTTCTTAGTACCCGAGACTTTCGTCCACGATGCTGGTACGCGCTTGAGGTCTTGGTTGGGCACTTCGATGAGGTACTCGATACCTGCTACGGTACTGTATATTATCTTTTTGCGTTGGTGAAGGGTATCGGTCGCGACTTCACGGTGGGCATCGAGTTCTTGCTCCACGGCTGCGATGCCGAGTTTATGGTCTGTGATGTCTTCCGTCTCGTGGTCTTCGTGGAAGAAAGCGTATTTGTCGTCCTTGCGAGCTGCCTCTGCACTGATCATATCCAGGAAGGCAATCACTGTTTCTCCGATAGCTGGTAAGGAGGCGATGGCATTATTGATCAAGGCCGATTTGAAAGGGGCATCAGCAGGGCCACGGACGTAGGAGTACTCGTTTGATATCCGCTGCAGAGTTTGGAGTGCCGTGAGGAGCTCAGGTCTTGTACACTTGCCGTAGTATATCCTAATCAAGCTGCGCTCGAGATCGATTTTGATATTCCGAAGCAGAGCTTGTAATTTGTCGACCTTTGGGGTCTGGTGGCCGTCTTTCAGCTCTTCTACTGCCGAGACTCGGTCTTCGAGTTGAGTCTGGTCAAGCAATGGATGACCAACCCATTTTCTAAGGAGTCTTCGTCCGAAGCGAGTCTTCGTCTTATCGAGAGTCCAAAACAGGCTCCCTTTCTCGGAATAGTCCGTCTGGTTTTGGTATACCTCCAAACTCGTCAAGGTGTTACCATTCAGGAGCATGTGAGACCGAGTGCTGAAAGACTGGAAGTACTTCGTGAGGTCGAAAACGTGTTCAAGGCCATATTCGGTCATGTGGATGATCATGGCCGAGAGACAGAGAGTGACTTGCTCAGGAAGCTTGAGCACCTTATCAAGAAGGCTTTGCTCGCGGTCTTTTTCGCTTTCATTCTCTTGAGCCTTAAGTTTATCTGCGTAGAACTGTGTGACATGCGAGTGGGATTCAGCAACCATGGTCTTGCCCTGCTTGACCCGCTCCACACGAATTGTATCGCCAGATTGGTTGGTGCTGCTCCCCGATAAGTGCTTTATTAGCTTGTCCGTGGCCTTGGTCAACTCTCCAACAAGCAAGAATTCGCAGGGCGCGATGTGCAACAGTCTCGTCTCTAGCTCACTTCGCATGAAGCCGTCCTCGAATGTGTCGTAGATAATATCACCCGTCGCTGGCTGTACAGCTAGAATTCCCACATCCACTTTCTCATCTGTACCCCATCCTTTGGCTTTGGACTCTGTGATGCACAACAAGTACCCAGTAGCAGGAGCGGCTCCTTCTGTTTCCTGGTCCAGACCATCGATATCGTCTACATATGTGCCTTTCGTATAGACATTTGTCAGCTTCCGAGTGAAGGGTGCATTCCTGTTATCTCCAGCCTTCTTTAGTGCTGCTGTCTCGATCTGTCTGACAACTCCAACCTTCAGACCCGCGCCGACCAATCTCTTCGCGTGTACTGACAATCTATGGACGGGTATACTAGCAGATGCGAATCGGTCCAAGTGGGCTTCGGAAGGGTGCTCATCATATCTGAATTTTCCTGGTATGCACACGATACTCAGCACCTTTGCTGCAGTCCTTGCATCTTCCCCAAAAAATTTGAACTTGTAGCCCACTTCCACAATCAGCACGGTGTCCATCTGTTTCCGCTTGATTTCCAAGAATTGTAGTTCCAAAGGAGTCAATTTCCCTGTCTTGGCTCCTTTTTTCTTGGTCTTGGGAGGTGGTGCTTCTTCCTCTTCCTCGCCATCATCTTCGTCGCCCTCGGTGACTACCGAAGGTTCCTCATTTTGCCGACTAATCTTCAACCCTCCAATCTTCTTCACCCACTGCTTGTGCAATTCCACCTTTCTCGCTTTCTCAGCCTCGTCCACTACGTCCTCCTCAACTTCGGGAATTGTGGGTTCGCTGCTGACAATTTGACTTGAGCCTGTGTACACGAATTTCACGGTCCGCGGAGAGATGATCGCCTTCGTAGATGCTGTGGTAGCTTTGGAATTTGCAGATTTAGGGGCCGCAAAGAAAGCACTGCTTCCTTCTTCCTCGTCGCCCTTCTTCTTCTTCGCCAGCGGCTCTACGCTCTGATTGGTTTCGTTCGACACGTCTGCCAGAGGCCTCTTGGACGAAGTCCTTCTATGCGCCACAACAGGCTCGCCATCCTCCCCAGAATCGGCGTCGTATAGGTTGCCGTCTTTTTCCGGTGGTGGCGAGCTTTGGGTCTGTGCCGGTTGGGACGCGTTAGGGGCTTTTCGCGAGAAGAAACTCGAGATGGCTGTTTGTTTTCCTTGAGATGAAGTCGGTGTTGAGGATAGCTTCGCCATTTTTCCACAAATGGGCGAGCAAGGTCTCTGCTGAAATGGCGATGTTGGTTGAAAGGCAGACTTCGCTTCGCTGGTGGACGCGACTGACGCGTAGAGTGGATCACAGCCTCTGAAATTTAGCGCCATCAAGGGTTTAGCGACAGCACCAAATAGGTACACCAAATACTATACTGGCTGACCTCTCTCGCATCGCGATCCTGGTCATCTTTCTTTTTGAGCATCTCGTTCAGAACCACAAACCACCATTCAACCCAGTTTTTCAGGATCTGTTAACCACACGCGAACCAGGAAACTGTAGTCGATCCTTCTCCGGTCGAATAATCATCGTCACACGGATCCCGACAGTCTTCCGTGTCTGATCCCAATCCAATCTCTGCTGCTTCTGGGTCCTTCATATAATTTCAGCCCTCATTGGGCCTGTGTAACCGTCGCCATGATCCCAACGAGCTACATATCTACACGGACCTTTCACTCGATTTTGCACACACTCGGCTTGAAGTTCTTTCTTCGTTGTCTCCGTAAGCCTCGGAGAAGAGGAATTCTATGATCAGTGGAGGGCTCCAGGCGAGGGATCATGCGAGATGTTGACGACGATATATCATGTGTATCGTTGTCAGCAGCTGACGAGCCTGACCATCATATGCCTCTTCTACATCCTGTCATGCCAGGGTGCTCACTATATACGAGAATATATGTAGATGGGCTCAAGAAGCTGCAACAGGTCGAACATCTTCCATAGGCAAAGCGACCTGTGTCTGCTCCCGAGAGTCCCTGTGCACTGAACATTCCTCTATGGCATCAATCAGACTAGCCTTGGAGGCGCAAGTGACCCAAAGTCTGTTTCATTTACTCTCTTGCGATCGTCTTGAAATAACGGCCGTAACTGGGTCAGTTACTATTTCGTTGAACGAGCCTCTGGCCTACATTGGTCCGGTCTATGACTGTCTGAGCACACGGGGAAAATAACCCCAATGCCCATGTAGAGTTTGATCCTCAACCCCAATGTTTCTCTTGATGTGAAGACGATTCCCCAACCTCCAAGGTACCTCTCCTTGCCCGTGAAATGCTTGCAACAACATGAGACTCAGTGTGTTGTTCTCGACCTTCGTCTTCTGCGCGACGGTCAAGAGCCAGCAATCAACACTGTTAGAAGATTACTTGAAGAATTACCCACAATGCGCAGTAAGGTATTCGTCATCAGTATTCAATCATTAATAACAATTCTCAGGCGCAATGTGTTCTACCGGTAATCCAGGACATGGGCTTCGGCATACACAGTATCACAGATATCAGCACAAAAACGTGCCCCGATATCTCGTCCACTAGGAGTATATACTTTTGTATTCAAAGAAACTGTAGCTACGCGGACGAAGTGGGTATGCAAACTGCAGGTTTGCATTGTAATAAAACAAAGCTCACATAATTCAGCATCATGGCCAATTCAGGAAGCGCTTTGTCCAGGCCATCAGGTGCCTTTTCGGGCTGGCTATATCCGAAATCTCACTTTGACCATGACTCTTCTTACGGCGGTGTTCGTGCTGGGATCGATTAAAGCGTCATGAGGCCATAAGGCAGAAACAAGCATACACGCATAACACAGCCTCCTTCGCTACATCTCCCGCCACCTTTTCCGCCACATCTCTCGCCACTTTTCCCGCTACTTCTTTCGCCGTTTGATTTAAAGCAAATTCAACGAAATAAAAACTATTTTTAGCTTTTTTATAATACCAAGCACGTGCGCTCGACCTCTTTTACGTTACCTTTATTTTTTTTTTATTTTTTTTAGCTAATTATTAGCTATTTCAACCTTTTATTAATAACGTATATTCAATTCGAAATAAACCACTACTTATATTAAAAAAGCTTTACGTTTATTATTACGTTACGTGTTGATTCGAGCGTGCACGTAAAGCTCTTTAAACTTCCGCTTCTAGCTTTTTTTTTGTTAATATACGGTGCTAGCAAGCAGGCCTTGGTTAAAAGAATAAAGGCGAAGCTAGCGGCCGCTTAACGAGCCTCGCACGTAATATTCGAATCAAATCAATCACGAGCGAAGCTTTAAATTCGATTCGAACTCGAATTTTTATAGTATCGGAGTTTAGCGACTTAGCCGATTTTGTGAGCGCGTTTATTAGTCAATCGTTTACGGATTAGTTAATGCGGGAATAATATAGTCTATACCCGATTTAGATTAGCTCCGTCGGAGGTTCGGCGTCCGAGTGGCTGTCTAATGCGTGTGTGCCTGTTTCTGCCTTATGGCCTTATGACGCTTTAATCGATCTCCACTAGACGGACCCATCTTCTATAAGAGGGCACACATCTCTTAGCTAGAACAATCAACGAGCTTTCTACCTATCTTTTTTGCACTTCCTTGTGAGGACCATGAGGTCCAGCCTTGATGCCGGGCTTCTATACGACACTTCTTTTTTGGCGCTTCTACATTGGGAGTCGAATTCGAATGGTTGGAACCCCAACAGGAGGCGATGAGACTACTCAAGGAAGCCCTACTCTCTGCCCCTGCCCTGATCAAAATCGATTACAGCAAGGAAGGAGGAAAGACCTACTTGACGGTGGACGCCAGCCTCAAGGGATGGGGAGCCGTGTTGCAACAAGAGGACTCAGACAAGAAAAGACATCCAGCCAGATTCGAGAGTGGCCTTTGGAACCCTGCTGAAAGCAAGTACGATGCAACCAAACGAGAATGCCGCGGCGCCCTCAAGGCCATGAAAAAGATGAGGAGCGAGCTGTACGGAGTCCACTTCATCTTGGAAACCGATGCTAAAGTACTTGTTGATCAACTGAACGGATCCGCGAGCGACCTACCTGGAGCTCTTGTCACGAACTGGATCGCATGGATGAGGCTGATGGACTTCGAGGTCAAACACATCCTTGGCACCAAGAATGCGGCGGCGGACGGTCTGTCTAGGAGGGGAAAGGAACATCCTTCGGATAAAAATTCTTTTTTATTGGCAATAAGAGAGAGTTTTTGCCGGGGAGCCGAAATATTGCACTTTGGCCATTGCGGCATTCCGAAGTCCGAACCCATCGGGGATGGGGTTCTGATGATTTGAAGTCGTAATTGTTGAGTATGAGGAGGGAACTGAACGAAGGTCAACTTGACTGCGAATCAAGCGATTATAATGAGCTGTATAAGGACAAAGACCAAAGGTTTGAATCCCTGCGTAGGTCACCAATATAAAAGCACCAAAAAAGAGGTGTCGTATAGAAGTCCGGCATCAGGGCTGGACCTTATGGTCCTCACAAGGAAGTGCAAAAAAGATGGGTGGAAAGCTCGTTAATTGTTTTAGTTAAGAGATGTGTGCTCTATTATAGAAGATGGGTCCGTCTAGTGTGGCCTTAGTGGCCAAGGTGTTTACAATACCTTTTCACAAATACGAATAGCGTATAACTATAAGACGGTTCTATTCCATATTATTGTTTGATAAAGTTAGGTAAAGCAGAAAGTATAGAAAGATAGCTTTCGCTTAACATTTATAGTTATACCCGCAAATTTTGGAAAGGATAGAAAAGAAAACACGAGGGGAGCGATTTCAGCTCTTGTCTTATGCATCTAGTTCTATTAAATAAGCAGATTTAAGCTTCATGGTCCAATTAACTAGTTTCCCAAAGGCGGGACTGATGTATTATGGCCAATGTGTTTTTTTTTTTCTCGAAGTGTTGACCCTTTGTTTTGGTGCAAAAAATGGGTTTATGCATTATAACATCGTTAGTGCTGTACGTACGCAAAATGTATAAAAATAACTGCAGCCCCAGAACTGCCAGACGCCATGACATACCGCCTAGAGCCCACATTAGATGCAGGGCAGGTGATATACGGAGCCTCTCGAATGCTTTTCCCGCTCGAAAAGCTGGAGCAGAGATGGCCCTGGATAGCGAGAAGCTCAGATGCAGGTCCCGCGCTGGGAACGTAAGTAGTGACGCCGCCATCGCGGAATCTGTGGGATGAGTTCCGGACGATGAAAGGCTGTATACGGCGCGTGGTTCCGCATAAGAAAACTTGATGATGATGATAACGACAATGATAAAGGATAAGTTTGTAGAAGCTCTCCGAAGATTTTGGTATCCGGAGCTACTTCATTTACTCAAGCTGTTACCTCTGTTGTAGAAATCGAATGATTGTGTAAGAGGTTGCTGGCGAAGCATCATGCACTAGCCCAGCTACAGTGCTGGTACCAAGGAGAAGCCGAGATACGCCAGAATAAGACCATCGAACCCTACCTCTGGTTTTCGATTGTGTGGTACTCTGCGACGACAGCTTCGAGCTCTAGTAGCACTTCTTCGATGTTGGCAATCATTCGCGCAAGACTGTCGTTGGCTTGGCCTTGTCCACGCCTTTTCGTAGGCGACGCTGGATCTTTCAAGTCGCTTACGAGAGCCTCAAGGGTTGTGTATGTACCGTATAGTTGGTGGCTCGGCTCCAAACAATCGCCTTCGCCATCGGAGAATATTCTCCAGAGCTTGGAGGCGGGCTCGCTTTCTCGAAGGATGTCGCTGACGCCGAATCTGAAGGACATGTTGAGGAAAGATCGTGTTTCGAAAATAGCAGCCCTGGATATGTTAAGATTTGAGGAGTGGGGAGATAATTTGCACGAGAACTATCTATCAGGACTTGTGGTTGAAGCCTTATTGAGTTTACTCGAAAAACTGTGTACAACACATGTACTAACACAGACCAGTCCTTCTACGGCTTACCTCCTCAAGTGGTGGCGGAGCGAGGCCGAGGATCATATAGAGCTAGATTATTGGGTGTCAACACATTGCCGTTATCTTGTTTCGATACCTTTACGTAGGCTTTTCTTGTCGACTTGATATTCGGGATCGCTGAGGTTGGCCCAGCTAGCGGGGTCAATGTGTTGGGTTTTAAACGATACACTGGACGCACTGTATACTGCTGGATACCAAACTAAATTCAACTCTCTATCTTTGTAATTTTATCGAACTCAAAACCTTATTTTTGGAGTCAGAACAAGTGCTGCCTCGTCTTTCACGCATCCCCAAATCCCCGGGCCTACATATTTCGCTTAATCTTGGGGATGATCCAAGCGGCCTTGTTTACACCTGGGTCGCTCAATCTTCGGGATTTGAGGACCTAGAAAGCGTTCGAGAATCCCAATATTGGCGTATAGTTCCCATTGAACGTTCTTGCTTCCAGGAACTTGATCTCCGGAGGAGGCTGTGCAGGGTTTAAAAGCATACACCCCATCCCCAAAAGAGGAGTCACGTGAGTACATGAATTATCCATCAATACTTATTCCGATGAGGGTTTCGTAGCGATTAAAAATCATCTCAACTTTGAAATCTTCGATCGTCCTTATAATACTATATACAAAGAAAACTCTTTATTCAAAGCGTGTAGTCAAACAAATACATAAGACCTCGCAACCAGAGGAGAGAAGTCGAGAATCTAAATACAACGAATACTCGAATTGAATTCTCGGTTACTGCGGCCGACAACTGCAAGATCTGTGCCGGACTCAAAATCTGTACACGGTGCTCCACTCAATTCCAGATCAATCTTCAGGATCCAGGAGTCAAATGCGTTGCGCTGGTACTCACGAAGTGGCAAGACCTGGGAGAAGGAAAGGAGCATGATGACTGGACGTGGAGGAGTCACTTGGATTTCCAGGACAAGAGGGAGAGCAAGTCCGATGGATGGGGATACCACTATAGGAAGCCACAAAAGCGCAAGGGTGTGTATAGCAATCTGAGAATCCGCGACACATACGAGGGGGTGGGAGTTGATGCCGGCGGAAATCTGGTTTTGACAGAGCCGGAAAAGCCATTTAACGGGAAGAGGAAGTCCTACGATGGAAGAGTTGGAGCCTTTTTTTCTGACGAAGCTCGAATCTACAAGTGTCAAGAATGAGGATCGAGATGAATGAGAGACTACCCGTTGTGTCAGTATTCGCGGATTCGATTGAATACGAACATATGTATTTTTCTTGGTCTCAAAATACTGGGGGGGAATGGGAGACAGGATTTTAAGAGAGGATAGACGAATGGAAGCAAACATAAACGCCTGAAAATCTGCGAATGAGGTGTTCGCACTTATATTTACAATGTGAGTAATGCTAAATCCGGATTACTACAAGAGCTGGTAACCATAATGTCATTTGAAATTTGAAGCAAACTATATCTGAGATTCAAATGCTCCTTATAGGCGAGAGGCAATGGAGTATCCTCGGAATTTTTAAATCGTAAATATCCGAGAAACCGATAGAGACTTGTTGTTGCGATATACCATTTGGGATCGTACCTCGGCTAAGTTGCCGATCCGGGAAGGCCATGGCCAGACCGTGCGTTCTCCAGCCGTCCTCAACAATCTTTCGATACTGAATACTCAACCAAGAACACCAAACGCAATGATGAGACCGTCGCCCCGAGGTGCCAGCCTAACAATCTACGTCGACTGCGGTACCCACCCTTCCCAGCCCCCTTAATTATATCCAGCACCCACCGAGTATCACCGTCTCAAAACGATACTGACTAATAAACCTTAGTATCGCCCTACTCGTGGTTCGGCACCACTGCCCTGCTTAAGCACCGGCCGGCTATTCTCGCGCATGGCGTAACTGTCGATATCGTGCCGTTCTTTCTCGGCGGTGCCCGAGATGCGGCCGGAAATCCGTGAGTGATTTATCCCTTGGAGGCCTCGTCAGAAAAACCACCATCCAGACGGAAATTCGTGTTACTGAATGAAGCTCGGGTTGTCTAGATGGCAGCCCACGCCCAAATACAGAGAGGCATTCTCGAACCAGGATACCGTTATGACGGGGGAGCTACTCGGATTGAAGATCGTGACGCCGAAGGAGTTCCCGATCATGAGTCTTTTTGTAAGTACTAATAAACATGTCGCTTCCCATTACCATGGTTGGAACGTGTCCGTTTCAGCCTCAGAATTTCGGGGACTGGAGAGTCTCGGGAGCTATCTGGGAATTCACGAGTTGGAGGGGGGACGATGGAGGACGGGATCGGAGATATTGACACTCCTTGTTGACTGTCCCAGCCCGTCCGTGTAGCGACCTACATCAAATCCCAGCACTCCGCCGCCAGGTTCGAGGCTTCCTTCCTTGCTCTGGCGGCCGGGTACTGGTCCAAGGGGATCAAAATCTCCAAGCCCGAAGGCATTATCCAAGCTCTCTCCGGTATCTTCTCTGAGGAGGAAGTCAGAGAGATCATGCAGGGAGCAGTGAGTCCCGCGAACAAGAAACTCATGCTGGATCGCACGAGGGAGAGTCAGGCGTTTGGCGCGCCGTGGATCGTGGGGGTGAATAGCGAGGGGGAGAAGAAAATGTGGTTTGGGAGTGATCGGTGGGATCAGGTAGGTAACGGGGGGCCGATATCTTCTTTTCCTTCTCCGGAAACCCCCCTAGACAGACATCTACTGACTCTCCCCTGTCCATCAGGTTTTCTATCATCTGGGTGTGCCGTATAAGGGGCTGGAGGTTGTGGGTGTGAAGGAGAGTAAATTGTAGGGCTGAAGAAAGGATGAATGTGTAAAGTAATGATAGAACCAAACCGTTCCAATACCGCAAGCCCCGGCTTGAATGCTACTACTTTCCTCGCTTATTCATAAAGATATATCAGAGAAAAGAATTCCTAGGTCAATATAACGATAGAGCAATGAATAGAAATGATACTTACGCAGAAGTGATGATGAAAACTCCTCAAGCCCTATCTCGGCATAAGAACGCCGACGATAATTGAATTCGTAATAGCGAAGCTCGGAAATACTATACATACCGACTTGACTGATGGAATCAGAAGTCTTTAATCTGTCACATCAGAATAATTATAATTCCATAATTTTAATTCTAAACATATTTAGTCGTCGGTTACCTGAAATTTAATTCGTGAACAATCCCGACCTGGCGTCTAACCGACGATGAGATCGTAGACATTGAACATTTCAAAGCCGGGCCTTTCGAAGTCGCTGATAATGAATACGTAATATGTGACAGAAATATGAGGTTTCTGGTCCTGATATCCTTACTAGAGTTAGCCTCTTGGCTACCTCCATTGTATATAGGTAACTAGGTAGCGCTCAACTCTCTCTCGCTAAAATCTACCGGAGGCCTGTTGCTCTCTCATAGTAGCAATTCAGTGAAATCAATCAAATGTCAATCGATCGATAAAAAAAAATAACAACTCTCTCATAGCTTGCGTGTTCGGACGTAGCCAACCTGCTTGTACAACGGAAACGCTGCAAAGTGTCTTTTGTAATAACAATAACGACCCTCGACAACAACAACATGCCGGGACAGAGCGACGATGAGAAGGCTAAAGTCCTGAACTATGATATCTTTTTTGTCTGGAAACCTGGGGCGATCAAGGAACTGATCAGCCAAGGCGTCCTGAAGTGGGCTATTGGGCCTGTTCCAGGCTCAGCCTGCAGCAAACGATGAGGCTCTTGAGGATTTGGAATGGATATGGGACGAGAACAATCGAAAGGCTCTAGGTGTAATCTGTGATCTTTTTGGCCCCGCCAAATTCGCCAAATTCATGGACACAGCTATAGAGGGCGACCCCCACCAACTGTGGGAAGTCATTACTACAACCCAGGGCGCCATAGCACTAAACAACGAGGGCGCCTCGAATATCCTCAGGGGACAGCTGGCCACCGAGAAGTCAATCCCTGCGGAGGAATCTATCGACCAGTACTTCTCACGCCTGCGATCTCTTCAAATGCAACTCGAAAACTACCCCAGCCCGCCGAGTGACGGTCACATGACGTGCATCATGTGGAATGGACTTCCTAAGGATCCAACGTGGGACGTGATCAAGCTTCGAATGAGTAGGCCGAGCAAAAGCCTGAAGAGACCTTTCTCGAGCTAAAATACAAGGAGGCTTCATACGCCGCCGAAATTCGCGCTGTCAGTACGGCCCCCGAACTTGACGCTGTGGCGTCTCATCGCAGGGTCCGAGGTCTATTTAACAGTGGTGGATGAGGTGGTAGACGTGGTGGCGTACAGAAGGGGGAAAGAGGCCGTGGTAGGTGCGATAGGGGCTGAGGAGGCCGGCTGGGACTGGAACAAGGACGACGCATCAATAACGATTGCACAGGGAAATGGGTGATAAGTGCGAATATTTACTCGAGTGGTTGGAACCAAGTATATGCTTAAAGTCTGCGGTTTGCAAACTGGACTCCGAAGGAGCGCTATATGCTGGTGCCAAGGCATACGTATCTAGTGTACTTCGTGATCTAGACACGTGACCTAGAAGCCTGATTGCCTATGTTCCAACACTGGCAAAAAAAAGGAGGGAAGATGGGAAAAGGACTCAGAATCAAAGGTTCAGCGGATATTGAATCTATCAAAGGAGAAGTGAGAGCGATGATAGTGGGAGCTGACCTCGTAACTTTTGGGGCATAAGCGTTTGGCCAGCCATGAGGCTAACTATCCATAGTAGTGAAAATGAGGGTCAGAACCTTACTTACACTTCTATCAGTATATGTCTAGCTGCTTCGCGTAATGTTTTAAATCTGGATACACATATACATATATCTACCGACCTATCTATAATCATGTATCTATAATCATATCCTTCAGCAAGGTACGTCGTCTATCTATTTACCTAGACCCTCTCGTACCAAACCCGCATCTCTGCACTCCCCCCCCATCCCACTTAATCGCAATTCAAAATTTCAAAGCTCTCATTATTTATCGCCCATATTCTCGGCGCGAAAAAAAAAAACTTCAATATCAATTTCAATATCAAGAAGCCCCCCTGCTGCTGAACGCCCAACGGCTACCTGCGCACAGCTACCTAGCTAGCACCAGCATCAGCATTCTCAGCAGGAACTATGTACTTGTAAAAGTACGCGCATGCATGCATGTATACACAGCAGCATCTTCCCGACTTGGACAACAGGAACTAATGTGGCTCTATGCTTTCATGTTATCCCGTTTATCGCGCTAGACGTACCTGGTACTAGAGGGGGCGGATACTTACCTACCTACCTACTTACCTGCAGCAGCATAGGATAGAATAGGATAGGATAGAATGTAAGGCTAGTAGAAATCGACTTCGAAGTCGAAGCTAGTGGGCTGTGGGTTTTGTAGATTGGAGGAAAGATGAAGAGAGGAGAAGATAAAAAGGGAGAAGGGGTTGAGTTTTGATCTGAGTATGTTTATGTTGTATAGCATTTATATAGACGGATTTTATTGCGATTGAAAGAGTTTGAATGACTTCTGCAAAAGGGAGCTTAGCTGTTTGTTTGTTTGTTTGTTTGTATGTTTGTTTGTTTTGTGCCGGATGTATCACCAGCACGTCATGCATGAAAACCAAGCTGTACGCTGTTGTTACTATACGTGGTCGTTTTATTCCAGCACTACGTCCGTATACCCTTTTCAATTTTTCTTCTTCTTCCTTAAATTATGTATATATACCGTAGAGTATGCATCGCTGAGTATTAGGTTTGATTTGTGTGAAGAAATATCCCAGGAATACAGGGCAGACTGAGAGGGTTGGAAAATTCCCAAGCTAACTTTTTACCTTATCTGTATATTCTTTCCCTTGCAGCGTTAGCTGCATCGTTGATGGGGAGGCGATATTTCAGCCTAGGTTAAGATAGGGGGTTTCTTCTTATTTTCTCTATAGGTGTATGTAACTTCCTTTCCAATGTCGACCCTGGCTAGGCTGCATGGCTGGCTGGCTAGCTACCTCGAAGTCAAGATAGCCGAATACGCTTCGGGGGCTTTTTTCGTATTCAAGGTTCTTGATATTGATCTCGAAATTAATCTTGTGGGAGCGTGGATATAGACATTAGGGACATGCCGTGTACTACTACTACTACTCCCCGCGTACACACTTAGAATAGCTTCTCTCTTTAGAGTTTACAACACAGATACACAAACCATATTTGAACGAGGTTCCAATCGGTATGCACACCTATGTATTACCAACGGATCCGCCTGCCAACTCGGAAGACGGCGGCAAGCCTTTGGGCCCGTAGTGGTTTGATCGAGGACGACGAAGAGGCAGGCGGATACGGAGTCTGGATGCAGAGTGAGAGGAACGCAGGAAGATGAAAAAGAACGTAAGTATCTGCTAAAGAGGGTTTGGGGAGCTATAGCGCAGTGCTGATGCCTCGCCGACTCGGTGGAGGACGAGGAGGTTATCTGAAGAGGGAAAGACGGGGGGAGGGGGGGTTGGCGGTGAGGATTAGGGGCTGGCCTCTCATGTGGGTAGCCGCTGGGAAGCTTGCATGAAGGGATGGATACTGGCTGCTTCTTTCTTCTTCTTCGTAGCGGTGCAAACACGCACGAGGCCGGCTGGATTGAGGCGCTGGGATGCAACTTTGAGTCATGCATTGATTGATCGAGATGCCGGGAGCCTTCGCGTGCTTGCTTGCCTGCTTGCAGAAACTGGTAAGAACTGTTGCTTTTATGCTGTGTAAGCGTACGGCAAATGCTTCAGACCCGGGCCGTACGTGTATATCCATCGCGCTTGACTCCAAACCCGATGTGATAGGGGCTCTCCTTTCTCTTTTGTTTTGTTCGCCTAATTAACTCGCTCGCTTCCCCACGTGGAGCCCCCAGATTCATAGGCCGACGACGCTCGAATGAACTGTAATCCGGAGCCATGTCGGCTTAAAACAAAGAAGGTGGACGGATATCATGCCAGCCTTAAGGGATTTCGAGGCTCGTGATGTGTATGGAACAATAACAGCTTCGGTCTGGCCTGTTCCTAGCAAATAAGAGTGGTGTTGCTGCGGGGTTGTGGAGAGAAATCCTGGAGAAAGTGCCGATCTCTCTTGGCCCTGAGCAATGAGGGTATCGTCACATGTGTTGTTTACTTGTAAGAAACGATGAAGAAACGAGTAAGAACGTGTTTGATTTCAGGAAAATTCTCGTCCACACTAGGAGAGGAACATATCAGTTGCCCGGGTATTTTTTTCAATCAAAACTTTGACCGATTGAGTGACTCGAGAGCCGTCCTCGTCATACTCATCCTTCTTCTCCTTCACCTGTTCCCATGCCGGGGGACACAAAGACAATGTCCACACACACTAGCGGAGAACTCAGAGCTCCCCTAACAAAAGCCCCGAGTACCAGGATATCGGCTCTCTGCATCCGTTCTGTGCCTGATCCTGGCAAGTGAATCCTTTGACAGGTTGGGGCCATCTTCCTCAACCTTCGTCGTCGTCGTCGAGATCTGCACGTTATCCCATTCTTAAATCATCTTTCCCTCTTCTTCCTTGTTCCCCTTCTGCCGCCACTCCGATTACCTCCCCGATTCCTTTGTTGAATCATTTCATAATACTAGACTGCGGAAATCGATACTGCATATAATACATACAATACATACAATAACATATGGCAACGTGGTATAGAGTCGCAACCATGAGCGCTCTCCAAACCAACACGTCGAGAAGCGACGAGAAGCTCTCCCATGGCGGCAGCGAGGATATTCATGTCGACAACCAGCGCAGTACCATGAATGACCTCCCTCCTGATCCAGATGCGCACCTGAGCGCCGAGGAGAAGGCCGCGGTGGTAAGCTTTTTCCAAGACGCGGGTATGGGGTAGCGCGGGATATACTCCGTATACACATATGTATACATATCCTTGGCGTCTTCGAAAGTGCCTGGGCTGATTGATATTTGGGTGTGTCCTCGCAGGATCGCAAGTTGCTTTGGAAGCTGGATCTCACGCTGATTCCTTGGGTATGTAATTTTCATTTTTCTTTTCTTTCTGAAGAAGCGCTTATAGAGCCAACTCGTTTATATATCAATGAGACTGGGAGTGAAAACTATCCGAAACTGTGACCCAGATCATTTATCTACTCAGGCTAACCATTTCTTTTACAGTTATGCATCCTCTACCTCCTCGCCTTCCTCGATCGAACAAACATCGGCAATGCCAAGATCGATGGACTGCAAACGAGTCTAGGTCCGCCAGGCCATCCTATGACCACTGGAAGATACAATGCCACTCTGTCCATCTTCTTCGTCTCCTACTCTGTCTTTGAGTAAGGCTCCTCTGAATGTTAGCATATCGCAATCCAGCTGACTGACTTTTATAGGCCATTGACCAACATCCTCCTCAAGCGCCTCCGACCATCGGTCTTCATCCCAATCATTATGGTCATCTGGGGACTCTGCATGACGTTCATGGGTTTTGTCGAGAACTGGTCTGGACTCATGGCTGCGCGCTGGTTCCTTGGTCTCGCAGAAGCCGGCCTCTTCCCTGGTATCAACTACTACCTCTCCTGCTGGTATAAACGATCCGAATTCGGTATCCGCGCCGCCATCTTCTTCTCCGCCGCTGCCGTCTCGGGTTCCTTCGGAGGTCTGCTCGCGGCCGCCATCGTCAAGATGAATGGTCTGGGCGACCTTCCCGGCTGGGCGTGGATCTTCATTCTCGAAGGAATCGTCACCGTCCTCTTTGGATTCGCCTCCTTCTGGTGCGTCCACGACTTCCCCGATGGAGCGACTTTCCTGTCTGAGCAAGATCGTGCCCGCGTCATCCGCCGTCTGAAAGTCGACAAGCAAAGCTCAGCCGAGCATGAAGAGTTTAAGATGAAGTACGTCTACATGGCTCTCAAGGACTACAAGATGTGGCTTGGCATGGTCATTTACATGGGTTGCGACATGCCACTCTATGCATTCTCACTGTTCCTGCCGACTATCATCAAGCAGATGGGCTACAGCAACAACACTGCTCAGCTTCTTAGCGTTCCTCCGTATGCCGTTGCTGCATGCCTCACTGTCCTTATCGGGTTCATCGCTGATCGCACACGTCAGCGTGGCCTTTGCAATATGGTAGGTGATGAGCATGTCCTCTCTACTCATATTCTTTTCCTCAAAGCCTTTTTGAGCAGGCATTCACTGACTTCCCCGCGTCCCTCTAGGCCGTCGCGTTGATTGGTATCGCTGGTTTCGCCATGCTGCTCGGATCTGATCAGCCAAAAATCAAATATGCAGGCACTTTCCTCGGTGCAATGGGGATCTACCCTTGCATCGCCAACACCATCTCCTGGGTCGCAAACAACACAGAAGGCGTCTACAAGCGCGGCGTCGTCCTCGGCTTCGTCATCGGGTGGGGAAATCTGAACGGCATCGTTTCATCGAACATCTACCAGAAGTCCCCATTCGTCTCGGGGCATGCAACTGTCATGGCCTACATGATCGTTTGCTTGTTGGGCGGTAGTGCGCTCCTGAGGTTCCTGTTGGCGCGAGAGAACAAGCTCAGAGGTGCGGGCCGCCGAGATCATTGGGTCGAGGGCATGAGCGAGCGAGAAGCTGAGAAACTGGGTGACATGAGACCTGACTTTAGATACACTTTGTGAATAAGCGCTTTCTTTAGTCGCTTGGATATCGTTTGTATACGCTACGTGAGAATTTCAGAAAAGGTTTTGATCGCGATCGTCGAGCTTGCGTGGATGAGGTTCCGACCTTGAAATTGGTGAAGCCCAACAGGTTGAGTGAGGCTTTCGAGAGGAATGTGGTCGAACAATGGGAGTAAATAAAGTAAATTTGTCAAAAAGCTAAGCTTATGTGATGCATGTTTATCGGCATGACAATAGATCTTATTAAGCGAGACGGTTTGGATTGGGAATCGCCTGGAGTCAGGTGTGCCAGGATCAAATCCTCGCCATACTCTGTACACCCCGCAACCCCAGATTCTGCAGTCATGATTAGAATCTCGTTTCCCATCTCGACTACAGCTGACAAGCACCCCAGTCTCACCACTCGGTTGTAAGCTGTCGATCTCTCATCAATCTCATATTAAAAGACCTGCCGAAGCCTTTCGAGTCCCTCCCAATACCCTTGACCTACTTTCATGATTCTGGCTTCCAAAATATTGAAGTCAAACTCGAGACGGCATCTCAGCGCCATGGCTAAACGCGTCTGCATAATCGGTACGTATCCTCCTCTCTCAATCCCAATCCCAGCAACATCATCTAACATCTACACAGGTGGTGGTCCTTCCGGGCTCGTCGCCGCCAAAACGCTCACGCACGATGCACCACCAGGCGCGTTCCACGTGACTCTCTTCGAGTCCTCTCCCCGCATTGGAGGGCTCTGGCCTGTGTCTACCGTAGACGACGGCCTGGTGAACCCAGACATGCGTACGAACCAGTCCCGCCATACGGTCTCCTTCAGTGATCTGGCGTGGGAGAGTAGCGCGCCAATGTTCCCCAAGGCGTGGATGGTGGGACAGTATCTGCAGCGGTACGTGGCTGTTTACGGGGGAGGGTGGGACGTCAGACTGGGTCGCCGCGTTGTGAGCAGTGAGATGCTAGGAGATGGGAGATGGAAGATCCTGGTTGGGGATGGGATGCCGGCCGAGGAGGTGCTGTTCGATTATCTGGTTGTCGCGAGTGGCTTCTTCGGGAAGGAGAGAATGCCTTCTGGCCTCGGCGGCTGTGGCTTTCCTGTGGCGCATAGCTCGAAGGTCAGGGATATCAAGACCCTTTTGAGCGATGAGATGGGGAAGGCCAAGGGGAGTGGGAGGAGGATTGTGGTTGTTGGGGGCCAGATGAGTGGTGTTGAAACGGCGACTGCGGTTGCGATGCAGATCTCAAGCGCGGCTAATACGCCTGGGGGTGAAGGGATCGAGGATGCGGGGAGTTATGTCGTGGAGCATTTGGTGCAGAAGCCGGTCTGGGTCATGCCGCTTCACTTCCCTAGGAATCCATTTGTCGAAGTGGATGGGGAAAAGGTATGTCACCAAATCCTGATATGTGAGGAGCGGGCACTGAGGAAGAAGCAGGAAAAGAACCGAGCGCCTGAGTTCCTGCCAGTCGACTTGGTCACGTATAACATCGGTTGGCGGCCAGAAGGCCCAGTGGCGAATTCGTCCGGACACATCACGGCCGAAGCTGCAGTCATCACCCACGCTTTTATGGAAAGCTATATTGGCAGCGATCAAAGCGATTTTGGGCCTGATCTGGCAGTTGTGGGAGACAATCGGTCCGAGCCTCCGAGGCTGTCGTTCAGTGATCAGTATCTCGAGTTTATTCGCCACAAGAAAATCGAAGTGAGAACGGGTCGCTTTAGGGAAGCTTCAGGCGACAGTGTTAGTTTGGAAGATAAATCCGGGCACCTTGTTTCAATTTCGGGCGTTGCAGCCATCGCCTGCGCAACAGGCTTTGACGCCGCTCCTTCCTTGGAATTTCTCCCTCAAGATGTACTCAGGACTTTGGACTTCAAACCAACAGACGAAAGTTTTCCTCTCGCCCTCAATTTACATGCGACTCTTAGCACAAAGATACCAACTTTAGGATTCGTAGGGTTTTACAGGAGCCCGTACTGGGGAGTCATGGAGATGCAAGCACGATTACTGGCCAAGCTGTGGAGTGGAGATGAGAAAGCCAAGCAGGCATTACAAGAAGACACGACGATGGAGACGATGATGCAGCTGAGGGGAGATCCTAGGAGAGCGCAATTCCCGATGGGGGATTATGCCTATCTGATGGAGTCCTTTGCTGGGATTTTGGGTAAGCTATCCATGCCATACTGACCTTGCTATCAGTGTGTTTGGATTTACTGAGCACGAAACAGACATCAAGCTTCAAGAGACTCCCGATTTCTCTGGCCGAAGCGGAATCATCACACCCTACCGCTACACTTACGCCACAAGATCGCCCATCCAACATATCGAAGTTAACAAATCCATGGCAGAATACAACGCAATCTTTGCTGCCTCTTCCAAGCAAGCAAAATTCGTTCCCAGAGCAGTCTTCCGCGGCCTCCAAGGAATCTGGACACTCAACCGAACCATCACATCCCGAATCCCCACCTTCCCTTCCGGAAAGCTCGTCGGCACCGCCTCACTCCTCCCTCGAAATCCTACCGACAAGCCCTCCCCCGCTTCCAGCTCGACCACCCCCGGTCAAGAAGGGGAAAAGGAGGAGGAAGCAAAAGCAGACATGGAATACCTCTACTTTGAAGAGGGCGAATTCAAGACCGACTTCGGTGCTACAATGACCGCGAAACGCAGTTACGTGTATCGGTATTTTGAGGAGCGGGATTGCATTGATCTGTGGTTCGCGAAGCAGGACTACATGTCAGCGGATTACTTCTTTCATCGAGTCAAGTTTATCATCCCTGAGGAGGAGGCCGGGCCGGGAAGACCATGGAGGGCGGCCTCGAGTCATCTGTGTAAGCCCCCTCCTTTCCAAACTGCGACTGTTGTGGCGTCTTGACGAAAGCGCGACTGTGGGGATGGTAGTCATCTGATCCTGGAGAGTGGAATGGGGTTATGGCTAATGATTACCAGGCATCGAGGACATGTACGATGTGAGCTACGCGTTTAGCTTCAGTGGTGCGACGCTCGAGAACTGGAGCGCCGAGTACACGGTCAAGGGACCACAGAAAGACTACACGATTCGGAACGTGTATACACGCCCCATTTGAACTTTTACCCTCCCAAATTCACCACGCTACTTTTCTCGCTGGAATAGATGAGATATTCATAGAAGAAGAGGGGAGTGAGGGCATCCATCATACTATCCCTTCCCTGCTCGCTCTTGGCTTCTGCCCGCCTTTTTGTTTTTGTCTTTTTTCCTTTCCTGAAGGCTCATTTGGCTAGATGTTCTAGTCAATTTTTCTTTTTGCTGTGCTTCTCCGCCGCCCCGGCCGACGAGAATGCAGAGTGACTGCAAGCCCGGTTTCTTCACAACTTCTGAAGCTGGCCGCACGAGTAGGTAAAATCGCCGCAGGAGTTCTAACAAGATGAGTCTTAATATACAATCGACGAGCCACTCCTTTTGGATTATATCATCTAGGATCCCTCGCACTATCCCCACCCGTCCAGGCAACGGTTTCGCTCGGATATTCCTCTAGCTCCTTTTCTGTTTCCCAGCATTGAGCCTATAGACCCAACTCATCGTTATTTGCCGTTTTAGTTGGGATGACCATTTGCAGCTTTGCAGCATCTTAGACATATCATCTGTACCAAATGAGTTGATCTTTGAAACGCGCAATGCCTCTTCCGAGTCTGATTTTATTGCTTAGATATACTCCCCGATAGCCTCTTCGTCTCCGGCCCACGTCCCAAGTAGCCTCGTCATCTCAACTAACTGGCTCGTAGGATTCTGGGATCCACACTCTGCGTACAGCATTCATCTTTCCACTATCCGCTTTGACAACACAACCCCATTCCTTACCACAAGCCGGGAAGCCAGCCGGTTCGTTTACGATCTCGATAACCAGCCGCCGCTCCCGCGCAACAAGTGACGATTCCAACTCCACCACGACACAACCCACTTCCCTAACCGATTCACGTACGCAGCCTGCGGTATCGAACCTCCCATCCCGAAAAACGCCTCTGATGCCCATCAACAAGCTCGCCTCTGGGCTCTCGGCTCCTTCCTACCGTATTCTACTCCTCCCGTAATCAATACCTATACGCCCTCTTTTTTTTTGCGATACCTCCGTGCGGACAGAGATCAAGCCAAGTGCAGCACCTCCTTGGGAAATCGTTTAGAAGCCGATGCATGGCTTCTCCATCTCCGCCTTGAGCTGTACTAACGAGAAAAGCTGAGGGAGGGCTGGTGTGATGGAGCGGAAAAATTGGCGAGAGGGAGGGTATGGAGTCGGTGGACCGATCACTGCCATCACCATCTTCTTCTACGCTTTACATGCCTTCTACTACTTGGGGTTTGTATCCGTCCTTGGGGATTCGCTATCGTTTTTTTTTTTAAAAAAAATTAAGAAGAAAAAAACATATCATATATATATATATATATTAGGTATATATATATTTCCAAGTACGCCCAGCCGCGAAGCCAACGAGCCAAAAGAGAAGAGGGAGAGAAGGTCTCTCGAAGCCATCCGACGCTCCAAGATTTTTTAGCCCTTCAGATGCCGACATGACGCGTGTGAAGGATCGCGGCTCACGTTACCCAGCCAGCCACCCAGCCACCTACCCACCCACGCCCACTTGGAGTCCTAGAGTCGAATAGGTAGGTAGGTAGGTAGGTGGTAGGTAGGTATCCACAGGCCCCCGACCCACCCAGGCGAGGCGAGCTGCGACGTACAGTAGGGTAGGGCGGCCGAGAAATACGTAGAGGATCGACGTGATGTGACATGGTTACTTACAGACCTGCGACGGTGGATAGGATGGGATGGGTCGGTAGGTACCGCGCTGTTCGAGCGAGCGATAAGTGAGGAAGTGAGTAAGTGAGTAAGCAGTAGTCTTCGACGCGGACCAAGAGCAAGAGCGTGAAAGGAGTATGTGTGTGTGTGGCTGCTGCACGAGTAGAGTAATATAAATAAATGGTTGGCTGCGTGAAGATGTCTCAGTGGAGGAGAGAAGTAGGTAGCAAGTTCACTCGGTACCTACCGTAATCATCACCAAATATATACATATATATATATATATATATATATATATATATACTTACTTTA